GTCCTCCCCTGGTTTTGGTATGAGGGTTATGCTTGCTTCATAAAATATATTAGGAAATTTTCCATCCTCTTCTATCTTCTGGAATAATTTGAGTAGAATTGGTGACAACTCTTCCCTGAATGTTTGGTAGAACTCACAATCAACCATTTTTAACCGCAGTCTTAGGGTTACAGAAAAAGTACACAGAAAGAACAAAATTCCCCTTCTTCTCCTGTATTGCCAACATTGTACACCAGTGTTGTGTATTTGCTGTAACTGATGGATCAATTGTTGTTCAAGTGCCATCAAGTCAGTTTCGACTCAGAGTGACTCTGTATAGGGTGTCCAAGGAGCAGTTGGTGGGTTTGAACTGCCGACTTTGGGCTTTGCAGCCCAGTGCTGATCCTATAGTGCCACACCAGTAGTCCATAGTGATACTTTATTATTAATGAAAGTTCACAGTATATGTAACCATGTGGTCTGCTCCTTGTATGGTATGGCCCTGTAGGCTTTGACAGTGATATACTATGGGACCCCATGGCAGTGTACTGAAGAGTCATCGACTGTCCTCATCCATCCCTGTCCTCCCTCTGAGCACCTGGCAACCACTGACCTTTTGACTGTCACTATAGTTTTGTCTGTTCGGTTCTGGGCTGAGAACCACAAGGTCGGCAGTTCACACCCCCAGTTGCTCCTTGGAAAATAGCCTGTATAGGGTCGCTATAAGTCAGAAGTGACTCAATGGCACTTAGGAACAATAACTTAGTTTTGCTTTTTCTAGAAGTCACAGAATGAGAATTCCCAGTTCCTCCTTCAGTTAAAAAACTTTTTTTTTTCCGAGTAATGTTTTATTGTTGTTGGGTTCTGTTATGTTGGTAACAATTCATAGGGGCCATATGCACAACAGAATGAAACACAGCTCAGTCCTGCCTCAACCTCACAATTGTTGATATACCCAAGCCCATTGCTGCTGCCACTGTGCCAGTTCATCTCATTGGGGAGTCTTCCTCTTTTTTGATGAACCTCCATTTAACCAAACATGATGTCCTTCTCCAGGGATTGGTCCCTCCTGATAACATGTCTGAAATATGAGACTAAATCTCACCATCAAGCTTCTAAGGAACATTCTGGCTACACTTCTTCCAAGGCAAAGCTGTTTGTTTTTCTGATAATTCATGGGTGCTTTCAATATTCTCCAACACCATAATTCAAATGCGTCGATTCTTCTGCAGTCTTCCTTACACAATATCCACCTTTCACATGTGTATGAGAATACTGAAAGTACCATGGTTTGGTCAGGCACAGCTTAGTCCTCAAGCTGTTATCTTGGCTTTGAGCACTTTAAAGAGATTTTTTTTTTTTTAATTTATTTTTTTATTAAATGTTTTTATTTTGGATTGAGTGAAAGTTTACAGGGCACATCATCAGCTTCACATTCAACCATTCATATAGCTTGTTTCATTCATTACATTGATTATTATCCCCTCTATATATCATCAGTTAACAGTGTTTCTCTCTATCCTCTTCAGCTTTTTTTTTAAAAAAACATTTTTTTAAAAATGTTTTATTGTGAGTTATGTGATAGTTTACATGGGAGAACATTAGCTTTACATTCATCCTGTTGTATATTGTTTCTTTGCCATGGTTACAATCCCCTTCAGGCATTATCAACCAACCAAAGGGTATACCCTGGTCATCAGCACACAGTCACTCTCCCTCTCTGGGTCCAGAGTCCCCAGCCCTCCATCTCTCCACATCGTCGTCTCTGCCTCCATCTCTGGTGTCACTGTTTCTCTGGGTAGGGTCCTGCGCTCTGCTCTTCTCCCTTGATGGTCCCAGGGATCTCTGTTCCTAGACTGCAAAGTCAATCAGTCCCCTCATTTTGCTACAAAATGTCTTCTTTTACATTTCCAACCCTCACAATCAGTCCTGATAGTAATTATTCAGTATTGTACCACAAGAGACCTAGCCCCATCTCCTTTCATCGAAAAATTTTTTGAAAAAGCAAAATCATACTTATTCAAAACAAAAAGCATGGTGAGTTGACAACATATGATAAAAACCTGAATTCAATGATATTATAATCGTCATGAAAGTTAAAGATTCAAACAAAATAGTGTCACATGTATTTGAAAAAGGCATGCATTTAGAAATATTTGGTTGATGGAATTGTGATTTAGGTTTTTTGTAGTTGTTGTTTTTTCAGTGGTGGTTTGGGTGAAATGTTACTGAGCAGATTCGTTTCCCATCCAACAGCTTAGACACACTTTGTCATGGGGCAGGGGTCCCCTCATTGTAATGACACTCTTCCTGCTTCCTTCCTGGGTTCCTAGTTTCCTGTTGCCCTTTCCCATCCCTTCCTACTTCCCAAACTTAGTTTTCTGCAGTTTTGCATGTAGGCGCTGAACAAGTGTACCCTGTACCAGGCCCTTCTGCTCCTGAGCTGAGCTGTGTCTCACTGTCTTGCAGGGAGACTGTTGTTGAGAGACTGGATTCATTGGTGCAAGCAACTCATGTTGCCATGAGAGGCAACTCCGATTACAGTGACCTTAGCGACGGCTGGCTGGAAGTAATACGTGAGTCTAAGCTGCACATGTGGGTGATGCGGAATTTGGTTGCTAGGGTGTCTTTCTTTGCTCTGTTCTAAAGCAAAAAATCAAACCACTCTCATTAACATCAAGTTGATTCTGACTTCTCGCAGCCCTCTAGGACAGAACAGACCGCCCCTTAGTGTTTCCCAGGCTGTCATCATTACAGAGCCAAACTGACCCTTCTTTCTCCTCTAAAGCAGCTGGTGGGTTCAAAGCACTGACCTTTCAGTTAGCACCTAGGCTCTTGACCTTGTGCAGTGGTTAAGATGCTCAGCTGCTAGCCAGAAGTCAGTGGTTGAAGCCTACCAGCCGCTGCACCAGAGACAAGTGAGTCAGTGTGCTCCCCTGAAGATGCAGTCTTGGTGACCCTGTGGGCAGTTTGACTTAGCCTGTAGGGTTGCTTTGAGTAGGAATTGATTTGATGGTAACAGACTTTGTTTTGGGGCTTGGAGCTGACCCTTCATGGAGGGATTCTTTCTTCAGTCGGAAGGCTCTTCTTATCCCTCATCTGTTATTGGTGAGACTGGATTCTATTTAATAAGGAAACCCACACAGACTTCAAGTTCCCCGGTTGATTTGCAAGTGAACAATCTTTGTGAAAGAAAGTTCAGATGTGGTTTGGATACTTTGAATGCATTTTACTTTGTACTGCCCCTCAATTAAAATAATTTCCACTAGGGTTGTAGGCAACTGAGAATTGACTCTGAAATTTAGAAAAGCTGTTTTGTTAACTTATAGTAAGGGAAGAGGATTGAAAGCATTGTGGTTTGTGAAAGTAGTCAGCTACAAAAGACCAGCTTAGTGTGTGATCCCATCCATAGGAACGTCCAGCAAAGGCAGCCCCCTGGAGACTAAAAGCGGATTATGGCTGCCCAGGGCTGGGGGAGGGGAAGGAGGAGGAGCTAGAAGGGCCAGCCAAAGTACGTGGGATTTCGTCTTGGGTGATGAAAATTTTCTGAAACTGATTATAGTGAATTCGGCACAACACTGTGAATGTGCTAGAAACCACTGATAGCACACATTACATGGGCAAGTGGTATGCGTGTGAATTACAGCTCAACAAAAGTGTTTACGAACAGAAGAAATTAAGGTACAAAGGATGTAAAAATAGCAAGGATTGGAGAGGCCGCAGAAAAGGCTTCATGGCCCAGAGGCCACTGCACAGTGACGTGAACTGAGGGGAAGGGAGTGGTAGGCAGGGGATGTCATGCCTGAGGAGTAAGTGGAGGTGAGACCACACACACACACACACACATACACACACATACATGAGTGAGTTGGACTTGGCTTGTTGCCATAGTCACAGTTCTCACCTCCAAAGTCTACACGTTTATCTGGTCCCTGAGATCTAACTCCCTCGGGTTCTCCATGGCAAAAGCTAAGGCCACTGGGAGGTGTCGCAGAGGTGGGAGTCAAACTTAGCTTCCAGTCTCTTTCCCCTCTTACCAGGTAGGTAGTTTCTGGTGGTGTCCTCAACATGTCCTGAACACATGGCTTTTCTGTTACAACACTTAATGGGACTGTTTCTAGAAGCCTGGGAGAGCTGAGTGACTCTGGTATTCACTTGGCGTCCCCTCCTATCTCTGTAGATGCTGCCCCTCCTACTTGCCTGTTGGAGCAGCTCTGTGGACCCTGCCCTCTGCCGGTCCACTCCTGGTCCACTGAAGAGCTCTGCACTTCAGCAGGCTGGAGTCGGCACCAAAGCCCACCAAGCTTTGAAAGGTTACAGTCTTAACTGAGCAGATTGTCAGGGCGTCTCCTGTGGAGCAGCTATGGGTCCGAACCTTGGAACCTGTTATTTAACTGCGGAGCGCTTAGTGTCAGGATGATTCCGACATCCCAACCACTGTGCGTGGCCATGTCTGTGGGTTTGAAGGGTGCAGCCTCACTCTGAGTTTCCAGGTGGGGTGGGGGGCAGTCATACTAGTACCTGGGGTTCTTTAGGCATCCCCAGTCCCTGCTTAAGTCTTGAGACCCAGAATTGGGTCCTCATGTGGAAACAGGACGCAGAGGTGGGCTTCTCAGCCTCTGGGTCCAGCCATCAGGCCAGCTAGCTGGGTGTGGAAGAGTGAGTGAGGATGAGCCCGGGAGAAACATGGAGTGTGGGGCTTGTCAGGAGAGGAAGCCAAGATGGAAGCAGTGAATGCGGGGTGGCAGCAGCTTCTATTTCATCTCAGCCAGGAAGCGGCCATGAGACTGGCTGGTAGAGAAAGTAGCCGTGATGTGGATGTATGGTGTCAAGGAGGAGAAAACTCAACATTATAAAGAAATTATGCCATTGACCATTATAAACTGGCTCCTTCCCCACTCCCCAGCCCCTCACCCAGGAAACAGAAACCCCCATCAGCTTCCCGTAGAGCACGCTGTCTGCCTCATGTACTCGAACTCCACCTTGCTATTTTACCCCCTGTGGGCTTCAGGGGAGCCACAGTGAGGGGCTGACAAGTAATGGGAGCTGATTTCAGAGGAAAGCCTGTTTGTTCTGCTGTGCATGAGGTGTCTGTGAGCAGGAAGCGCCTCAATGGCACCGAACAACAACTGCCACAAGGAGCCGCGGTGGCCCAGTGGGTAAGCGCTCGGCTGCTTGCTGAGAGGCTGGTGACCAGACCAGCCAGCAGCTCTGTGGGAGAGAAGACCTCTGCCACCCAGTCATTTCCGACTCACGGTCGCCCACAGGGCAGAGTAGATCCAACCCTCAGGGTTTGAAAGGTTATAGTCTTAACTGAGCAGATTGTCAGGGCGTCTCCTGTGGAGCAGCTATGGGTCCGAACCTTGGACCTGTTATTTAACTGCGGAGCGCTTAACTATGGCATGACCAGGACTCCTTCCCTTAAAGATTGTTGTTGTTGTTAAGTATTGTCCAGTTGATTCTGACTCATAGCAACCCTGTGTAGAGTTTCTGAGGAGCAGCTGGTGCATGTGAATAGCTGACCTTGTGGTTTGCAGTCCAGTGCTGATCCTCCAGCTCCACACCGGATTCCAGACTAGGAATTCCTATGGGTCTGTTGTGTCACATGGGGTGACTCTGAGTCAGAATCACCTTGGTACCTGCCACCAACACCAATGTGAGTTGTGTTTAGTGTTATTTCTCTTTTCTTGTGAAATCACTGCATTTTAATAATAATTTTGTTATTGTTATTCTTTCAAAAATGTCTAATGTAACATTTCTACAGGTGTCAATGGACCAGAGACAGGTGCAGGCCCGTCTGCACGCAGCGTGCCCAATGTCTGCCCAGATATTCCTGCTCAGCTGAGTGTCCGCATCCTCATCTCTGACGTTGGCGTGGTGGAAGGGGTGACTCAACAGGAGATTCTGGGCGTGGAGACCAGGTATGAGCACGTCAGGACGAGTGTGGCTGAGAGACAGTTGGTGAAGCTGAGAGCACTCCAGAGAAGCTAGTCATCTGTTTACAGATTATAGCTATTAGCGTATGAATACGCTGTTCCTCATAAGTATGCCACAAGGCGCTGAAGGAGTATCCAGGAATATGGGGCCACCTAGGTGGCATGAAGCCTTGGGATGCTAACCATAGGTCTGCAGTTCACCCAGCAGCTGCTCTGTAGGAGAAAGATGAGGCTGTCTGCTGCCCTATAGATTTATAATCTCAGAATCCTATGTAGGGTCAGAGTGGGGTTTGCCTGGATGGCGTTGTGGTTTTTTGTGTTAGCGTTAGCAGTGTCTAGAAATCCATGAAGGTAGCTGGCATTCTGTTCAAGGACTATCACCTGATGGCTAGAGCAGAGAGTTGGTTCAAGTCTCAACCTGTCAGAGATTTTGGGGCGACTATACCTCTTCTGAGCTGCAGTTCCTTGTCTGACAAATGGTGCCACCTCCCTGTCTGATTTGAAGTGAGAGGCCCAGGTCACACTGACTTTAACAAAAGGGAAACTGTATTGGTTTAGGTTCCCCAATGTTCACACACAGTGCCATGAGAAGGATTCTGTTCCTCATGGTACTCTGACTCCCATTTCTGTTGGCCTGCCTTTCCTCACAGGGAGTTTCTCCTCAAGAGCAATCGCAACTTCCCATCCATTACAAGCTCCAGTGGAAAGAGAGGGCCTCTTCCCCCACTGTTAACATTGGGGCAGACTTTCATTGGTTCCATTTGAATCATGTGCTCACTTCTGAACCAATGACCATGGCTGGGGCAATAGGCAACTCTGGTTGGGTTGAGGCCATGAGCCCACGCCTAGATTCAAGGAATGATGTGGGTACCTTTTGGTCCACTTAAACTGAGAATTGGAGCGCACAATTCCCTAAGGGAAAATTCAGGAGCAGTTTCTGGCAGGAAGGGATGCTGGCTAGGTAGGTAGTAGCCATTGATGTGTGCTCTATACACCCACCTTGTGGGACTGTTTGGAGAATAAAGCATCTCAGCACTGTGCCAAGCACAGGGAAAGCCTGCAGTAAATGGGTGGAAGGAGTCTTGGTGGCACAGTGGCTGAGTTCTCAGCTACTTTACTAGCTGTGTGGCCCGTGTTCAAACCCACCAGCAACTCCATGGGAGGAAGATTTGGCGATTGGCTCTTGTAAGGATTACAGCCCAGCAGATGCGACGGGACAGCTCCAGTCTGTCAGTGGGGCCCTAAAAGTTGGAATTCATGTGATGGCACAGATACCACAGTGACAGCAGTGATAGTTGTGGTTGTTAGCAGACAGACAAAGGATGACACCAGTGAACGCTAAAGGCATCAGAACACAGGAGGTACACAGGGAGGAGCTAGCGGAAGCAGACTGGCAAAGTGTTGGTAGTGGTTGTAGCCTTGGTGGCATGGTGGATTAAGCATCAGGCTGCCAACCACAAGGTCGGCAGTTCAAACCTTCCAGCCCAGGGCAAAGAAAAAGAAAAGGAATTTGTAGTATCTTTAAGAAAACCACCTTTTATGTCCTCAGGGTGCCAGCCACCTGCTGTTCTGAACAGAATGGAAGTGAGTAGTGGAGACATTTGCTGTGCCCTCTCCTCTCCTAGGTTTTCCTCCGTGACCTGGCAGTACCAGTGTGGGCTGACCTGTGAAGAAGATAAAGCTGACCTTTTCCCTCTCAGCGTATCGGTCCAGTTCATTACGATTCCTGCCCAGTTACCCCGCCCACTGACCAGGTAAGGCCGTGGCAGAGCTGGTCAGCATTATTGGGAAAGCAGAAAAGTACTGAGTAGGCGATGGGAAGCTCATTGTGCTCATCCAGATTTGATGCTTCTCCCTCGTTGTCATGGCCGTAACTGCCTACAATGTTTTGTAGATTCCAGATCAACTTTACAGAGCATGACTGCAACAGGAATGAGGTGTGCTGGCCGCAGCTTCTGTACCCACTAACTCGCTATTATCAAGGTAGGGCTTCTGGAGGGGTGATCATGAAGCATTCGTCCAATTTTTAAAAGTCATTTTAAAGTCTAATGGAACTTGTGCAAAGTGGAGACCTGTCAGGGAAAGCAAATGCTTTCCACTGAAATGAGCAATAGAAAAATGGTAAGACTGTACCCTGTCAAAGGTAAAAAACTTGCCAGACTCGGAAACACAAGGTTGTCCCTGGTGGGAGTTTTAAACTCCTTGTGGGAGCTTAAAAACATAAAGGAAAGTTTAGAAAAACAGAAAATACTTGCTGATAATGTTACTGCTTTGAAATCAAAGGTTTACCTTATTTCTGTCTAAGTAATGCCACTCACACAACTGAGTTAGGGAGTAATGCTGCTGAGTGTTACCCACTGTCTTGCAGGGGAGCCGTCTTCACAGTGCATTGCCAAGGGCTTGGCCTTGGCCACCTTCTTCGTATTAGCTGTGTTCCTCAGTCGCCCCTGGACCAGGATGTGCCCAGCATGGGATTCATCCAGTAGCTGACGTCTTTACCAGCACGGACGTTGGCCCCCATGATTTTGCTGCCCTTCCCTGTGCCTCTCTGCTGCACTTGATGAATGAAGCGTTTATTTCTGTAGAGTATTTTTTTTAAGTGCTCTGTGAATCTAATTAATCGATGTCGCTGTCTCAATGTTCAGAGTAACACAGACCGAGACTTCTCATCCCTGGGCCAGCCTGAGTAGAATTCATGACACTCACCTGTAAAGAAATTCCAGGTGATCACAAAGCACTTAAAAGACCAAATAGCTTGTTTGTACTTGATAGAATCAATCTTTTTTTTTTTTTTTATGAATGTGTTTATATGTGAATGTTGAATTGACTAATTTTTCATATTCCAGTGAAATTATTTCAATCAGCTTTTTAAAATTCATATAATCCCCCTGACTTTTTTTTTTTTCTGTTTATTTTTTATTTATTTAATTTTTTTAATTTAAGGTTTTTATTATGGATTGAATGAAAGTTTACAGGGCACATCATCAGCTTCACATTTAACAATTCATATACCATCAGTTAAAAGTATTTCTCTCAATCCACTTTAGCTTTTTAAAAAACATACAAACAAAAAAACCCACTCAGGCATATATAATAATTTACATCTCTAAAGGGCACATTCTGCAAGTCTGCTCCTGGCCACCAGTTCTTAGTCCTTCTCTTCTTAGTTGATGAATCTAGAGTCCTCAGCCTCTCCCCCTCTCCATGCCCCCATCTCTGCCTCCATCTCTGGTGCTGCTGCTTCTCTGGATAAGGTCCCATTCTGCTTGTGCGTTCCTCTCTTGATGGTCCTAGGGTCCTCTGTTTCTGGACTGTAAGATTAACCACTCCCCTTTTTTTTGTTACATAACTTCTACCTTTACAATTGTGACAGTCGCGATTAGTCATGATAACAGTTATTCACTACTGAATCTTACGAATCTTATCCCCATCTCCTTTCACCAGACCCATCTAGACAAGATGATAACAATTTAGTGGGGACTCTTTCTTTCCCCCCACACTGTTAACTAAGCTCCCTCTTGAAACCTTGTAAGCCAGTCACTTCGTGCCTTTATTGCCCCCTCATTTTAGATAGCCAATGTCTAAGTTGCCCATCCCTATCTACCCTGTGCACAGAGTGGATAGCATTGATACTTGATTTGAAGACTCTTGCCCTCTCTGTTGGTATTTAGAGTAACTACAGCTCTGAGTATAGGTCAGGTTCATCATGAAGATATATCTTCTGTCAGTGTAGCTATTCCAGTGTGCTTGTCCTTTCTAGTGGGAATGTCTCACCTCACAAGGTTGTGGATGGAACTCAGGATTCCACCAAAGGTCCTATACTCTGTAAAGGCTTTGCATGAGGCAAGTTGTAGAACCCCTTTGAGGTATTCCAATCAGTTATAGGCTGAAGACGGGCTCCTGACTTTTCCAAAGGAAAAAAGAAAAGAGAGGGCAAGGTGTACACTGAGAAAGGAAAAATAATATAGAGAAGAAAACTGAAAAACAAAAATGAAAATGGGGATGAATGTGAAAGCATGAAAATAACATATAGACCAAAGATCCTTCTAGGTGTTTTCAAAGGTAGACCTCCAACTTAGTCCTCAGTTTCGAAAAAACAAATACAAGTAGCTACAAGAATCATGGAATCCATGAATTAAAAACCTAGCTGATTTTCCTAGCTGAGTCTTGAGAGAAGTTCCTCCTATGAACTCTCACAAGAGGACTGACAGTGTGATGAAGTGGGGGGAATGTCTCTAACCACAGCCTACAGTCCTAGGATCAGCATGACTGTGGACAACAAGGTCAGCAGTTCAAACCCACAAGCTACTACTTCTCAGACACCCTATATAGGGTCGCTATGAGTCGGAACCCACTTGATGGCACAAAACAGTCATCACAGAGCAAATAAGAGTTTCTTTGTGTGCCAGATAATTTATTCATCATTTCAGATGGATTTTGTGTACCATCAATAAACCTAATTTTGAAAAAGCGCTGCTTTTCCCTTACAGTTTGTGATGGAGTCCCTTTGGCCTCTGGGTGTCCCAGCACTTTAGAAAGTGTGTAGACTCTTCACTGCAAGCCAGGGGGAGTTTCTAATCTTTCTTCTGGTCTTGACCTTGTTTTTAAATGAGGGAATCCTAGTTTTCAGCAAAATGGAAACACTCAATTTCAGGTATCTGCTTTCTGATTGTGTAAACTTTCACCTGACCTCCAAGGGAGGGCTGGACCTGGTGGGGCTGGGGCTTTGCAAACTACTCTCCAAATTCAGTTTTTCAATTCACTTTTCCACTGCTTATCATATCTGAGTATCAAGTGTGTTATTATTTAAACTCTTTGTTAAATAAAATTGTTTAAATAAATGTACTCAAGCAAGAATATATGCGATGGTTTAAATGGGTAAAAGAAGAGAAATAATGTTGAGATTCTTGGCTGACTTTTGAATCTTGGTTTCCCTTGCCTACTACTATAAAATAGACGCTTGAGGGAGAGAGAAAGGAATAGCCAGAAACATCACCATAGAAAGTTCATAAGTCTGTCTTCAGCCTATGACTGATTGGAATACCTAAAATGGGGCTAGAACTTGCCCAGGGAAGGAGGCTTCCTGCAGAGCCTTTGCATTGCATAAGACCATAGGTGGAATCAGGATCCCCATCCAGAATTTTCTGAGGTGGGAAATTTCCACTTGAAAGGACAAGCAGACCAGCCTGGAGCAGCTAGAAGAACAGAAGATACTTCTTGAAAGAAAGATCAGCAGGAAAACTCAGAAACAATAACGGCATCCGATTGACTACTACAAGAACAAACAAGTTGTTTGCTGGGGAGCCATCTAAGCAAGCCTCAGGGCAAACCCCCTTCCAAGACTGAGATTCAAGAGGAATATACAAGTAGGCATGTGGTTTTACTGGTGACCATGTTGGTGTACCGATAAGGGGAAGTGGGGAGGTGGGGGGGAACTGCAATGAAGATGTGAACTAAGTTGGACCACGTTCAACAGACTCTTGTCCACCTGGATTGAGACCTGGTTGGCCAGCAGTATGGAGAGACCTGGGGACTCCTGGACCCAGGGACAGGGACATAGCCACAGAGGACTAGAGCAGAGTGAAGTGTCCAGCTGCTATGAAGTGAGGGGAGATGCACAAGAACACCCACACTTACAGACAGCACCCATTTGACCTTGTTTCAATGGCAGGATGGTCAGATTCGACTAGAGGAAGAAAGAAGAGGGAAAAAAAAAGAGTAATCTGCTACAATGTGATGAACTTGACCTACACTTATAGATGTAGTAGCTCAATAAAGGGAACAATTCTTTACATCAAGGATCATTCCCACCCCCTTGGTACACAGGGTTGACAGGGATAGGCAACTTGGACATTGGCTACCCAAAATGGGGGGCTACATAGGCACAAAGTGACTGGCTTACGAGCTTTCAAGAGAAAGCCTAGTTTTAGAGGGTACGGGGGTAGAATCTCCACTGAGTGGTTTCCAACCTATCTGGATGGGACTGGTGAAAGGAGATGGGAATAAGACTCTTGTGGTTCAATAGTGAATAATTGTTATCAAGACTGATTGTGAGTATTGGAAATGTAAAGGTAGACGTCTTATAACTAAAGGAGGGAAGTGGTTGATCATGCAATCCAGGAGCAGAGGACCCTGGGATTATCAAGGGAGGAGAGCCAAGTGTGGGACCCTATCCAGAGAAGCAGTGACGCCAGAGATGGAGACATGGAGAGACGGAGGGGCTGGGGGCTCTAGACTCAGGGAGGGAGAGGGGTTGTATGCTGACGGCCATGAGGCGGACTTACGGGGTATACCCTTGGGTTGTTTAAATGGTTGTATATTACTGCGTGCTTCGGTGTCCATCCAAAAAACAAGAAAACAACCAAAACGGAATGGAAGCAAATGCTGTTGAATGATGATGCATGGAGGGAATTGTAATCATTGCAGTGAAACAAAATACGATAGGGTGAACGTAAAGCTGATGTTCTCCCATGTAATCTATCACCCAATTCACAATAAAAACTTAAATATTTATGTGTGTGTGTGTGAAATGATAGGTTTGGTGTTGTAGTTATATATATTTTTTACTAATTTGTATCTAATATATAACTAATTACAAGGAGATGGAACTGTAGTGGTTATGAATCCGGCTCTGGTAGCATAGTGTTTATGAATCAGGCTGCAAACCACAAGGTCAGCAGTTTGAAACTACCAGCTGTTCCACGAGAGAAAGATGAGGCTTTCTGCTCCCATAAAGATTTACAGCCTTGGAAACCCAGTACAGGGTCGCTATGAGTTGGAACCGACTCTACAGCACAAAACAACAACAACACAAGGAGATGGAGTCCTGGTGTTGTGCTGTAGGATAAGCACTGAAGTTCTAACCACAAGATTGATGGCTCAAACCTACCAGCCACTTTTTGGAAACCCTATACAAGGTTGCTTGCTATGAGTGAGAACTACCTCCCATTGCATTTAACAACAATGACAAGAAGGAGGGGGAACCTCTGTGGATTACCAGTGAATTTCAGGAATCTTCCATTAGAAAGATAAGGCTTTCTGCTCCCATAAAGATTTACAGCCTCGGAAACCCTGTACAGGGTCTCTATGAGTCAGAACTGACTCCACGGCACATAACAACAACTACCTCAGATTTAAGATATTTATGGAAAATTAGTTTTAAATATCCAAAAATGACAGGTAATTTATCCTGATATTTTGGGCTTTGTTATTTTGTGCTTCAAAAGGAGGGGGCACTCACTTTTGACAATGGGGCCTGAAGGGTACACTACAGTTGTAATTTTTCTTAGTGAATACATTCAGAAATCGCTACGAGCTGCCCTGGCCATTCTCCTTGTGGGGTTCTGGGGAGACTGGAAACAAAGCGGGCTGTTTGGGGCGGACACCCTGATGAGGGAGACACAGGCAGCAAGTGCTATGAAGGGAATAGACAGTAAGAGACTTGGGTGGGAGGCCTACTTTACATAGGGTTTAGGGGCTACCCCAGGGAGGGAGGAGCCTGGGAGCCAGCTTTGAAAAAGTTTGGGGAAAGGATGTTCTATGCATAGGGAACAGTGAGTTCAAATCCCAGCCCAGGTGTGTTTGAAAAAGAAAAGCAGACCAATCCGAAGGACAAGGGTCGGGGAAGGCAGCGGATCTAGAAAGTTTTGGATTTTATTTCAAATGCAGCTACAGTAGCTGGGGGGAGGTATTTAAGTAGTTTCCTTTCAGATCTTTGTCTTCAGTCAGAGAGGTGGCCAGTGGACGACCATGTCCAGATGTGAACATTGTCTCTGGTCTAAAGGGGCACACAGGGCACAATAGACAAAGTATTCATAGTGTGTGATTCCAACCACACGCAATGTCCTGCGCAGCAAAACCACACCAAGCACATGTTCACAGGAAGTGGCAGTGTCTCCAACGGGACACGACGGATTTTGGGGGGCGGGTTGGTGAAAAGGTACTAAAAGTGGATTGTGATGGCAAGTTTACTAAAAATCACAGTGTGGTACACTTAATTCGGGTGAATTTGATGGCATGTTAATAAAACTCGTCTTAAAAGCTCTAGGCTGTACAGCGAATGGCCGTTTTCTTCGACGGTCCGCGGAATGCGTGAGCCGCCACTGCCCACCCAGGGTTAGCGCCGGTTGGCCCAGTCGCAGAGGCTCCCGGAACTCCGGGCGGCCATTGGTCCGCCTACCGGCCGGGGGCGGGGCTCTCGGGGGCGGAACCGGAACCGGCTGCGGGGCCTCACCGGCGGCGGTATCGGCGGCCGAGGTGGCAGCATTGAGGCGGCCGCTGCACCCCGAGCTCTATGCCCCGGCGCCGCGGCCAGGCAGCAGCGAAAGCCCGGGCCGGCCGGGCTGAGCTCGCGGGCCGCCATGGGTTCGCTGTTCCGGAGTGAGAGCATGTGCCTAGCACAGCTCTTCCTGCAGGCAGGCACGGCCTACGAGTGTCTCAGCGCCCTGGGCGAGAAGGGCCTGGTCCAGTTCCGAGACGTGAGTGTCGCCGCCAGTCCCGCCCCCGTTCCCACTCGGACGCCAACGCTGAGGCCTCAGTTTACCCTCCGGAAGTCCCGCAGAGGCGGGCTCAGACCTCTGACTCGAGACGTGTTAGGAGCGCTTCGGGGTTGTCCCTCCCAACTTTGGGGTCTTGAGAGATGCACCGAGTGAGTGCCTGGCACTGCCATCGGTTCCTCGGGGCGCTCGGGGTCCTTGCGGAACTTCCGGGGGCGCCCCGAGACACACACCGAGCACATATTCACCTATGTGTACTGAGAGCTTTTGCCCGGGAGAGGGTTGGACGTTTAATCTGAGATCCAAGGGCGAGGGGCGGGTCTAAACTAGAGAGTGGTTCCCAGCACCGGAACTGGGACCGAACCGGGCTGAAGCCCCCCTGGGGGAAGGGGTTTCCGCGGGTTTTGTTCGCAGTGCTGATGGTGTCCACGCCATTTCCTGCTGGGGCAAGGAGCGTAGTCAGCATTGCCCATTGGAAGCTGTCCCCAGCGAGGAATGATCCACTCTTGTTTATGGATCTGTTTGCTTGTCCATTGCTGTCCTCCACCATGGACAGCGGACCCTTGCTGCCGAGGTTGAGGACCTTGGCCATCTCCTTCCTCCTGGCTCCCCACTGCTCGTCACAGCCCCCCGGCAGCGCGAAACACCGTAGGCGTGGGTGGAGTGAACGAACAGGCTTGCATTCAGTCCTTTCTGTGTTTCACGCACTGTCTCTGGTGCCGAGGCAGACAAGGCCCCTGTGTTGGGGAAGCTCCCAGCCGGCAGGAGACACACATTGGTCCCTTCAGCACCCACTCTGATTCTGAACTGCACAGTGCTCTAAAGGGAAAGACCGATGTAGAAACAGGTCTATTAAGTAGGACCTAGAACTTCTGTAAAGTGAGATTTTACTGTGTTTTTGGTGAACGTAAACACAGCATTTTAGATTCCCATTCAACCATTTCTGAACAAATTGTTCAGTGACATTGGTTACATTTTTTTACAATGTGTCAACATTGTCATAATTTACCTTCTTCGTGTTTCCATGAATGGAGTACCTTCTCATCTTTGTTTTAAAGTCACTGTAGAATATTAAAGGAGCCCAGTACTCTGGAGTGATAGCCTTTATTTCTGAGGCAATTTGTTGTTAAGCTAAAAAGTGACAGCGGAGCTATGTTCATAGTCTCAGGGAGTTCTCTAGTCTCAACTGGTCCAGTAAGCCTCTCAGGGTTCGCCTGTTGGGCCTTGATCAGAATAGTTGGTAGTGATAGCTGGGCACCTTCTAGAAGACTTAGTATTGAAAGTCACTTCAGGTGAATGTTTATATGGCATATCATATTCTATTTCCACACTCTTGGCCTTCATCTTTCTGTGTGGTTATTGATTCCAAAGGGAACCCCACCCACCCATGATTCAACCTTGGTGACTCTCGTGTTGGCCAGGTGAGGCGATTGCCAGGCCATAGGGAAAATCCTGAATGATGAAGTGGCTCGGTTCTCTTCCTGGGTCCTGCAGCCACTGGGACTTGAGCACGTGGCCGACTGCCCTGGTAGATGATGCTGCTGAACAAGGGAAACAGCCCCCTGCTTCTGATAGCTGCATCTGTTCCCTCTTGTTAGTGTTCCAGCCCAAACACCACGTTCAAATCCAAGGGAGTGGAACTAAGGTTCGGATCACCAGCAAGTCTCAGGTTTCCCTGAGAGCCGGAGCGGATCTTAGGAAAGGAAAGCGTTGTTTCTGTTTTTCCAAGAGGGAAAATAGAATGGAAATGGTCACAAGAGTGGTTCATTGTGTGGTGCTAGGATCTCAGAGTCCAGATGTGTGTGTGCATGCATGTATTCATATGCAAGTGTCTGTACACTCTCTATGTTCATACGTGGACATGTGCATGTATATGCAGATGAATGCGAGCACACATGCATGTATATATATATATATATATATATATATATATATATATATATACACACATATTTGTACATGTGCACATGTGCATTTGTGTGTGTATGGATGTGTGTGAGTGTGTCACACAACTTGAGTACCAGTGCAGAAAGCTCCCTCATAACTTGAATACTCTCTTTTCTCTTTGCTTGAGTTTCTCCCAGACCTTGCATCCCTCTTAGGGGGTCACTGAACCTTGCTTGTAAAAGTTGGCCAATTTCCCTTTTTCCCTTTAGTAACCCTTCTAACAGCCAGTAAGAAGGCCTGGAAAAGAAAGGTCAGTAGACTCACGGATAGGACCCAGTGAAGAAGGGAAAGGTCACCTCACTTTTGTAGCAGTCTGCACTCAAAGAAGGAACTTCACCTTGAGTCCTTTAGTTACTGGGGGCGGGGTGAGAGACTGGTGAGAGTCAGTAAAGGTGGTGGTGCCCTTTGCTGGCGTGCCTAGGTTAAATGCTGGTCTTAAAACGAATCCAGTCGCTCTAATGAAGTTTATACCATTAGTCTTAAACCAGAGTGATTGTGCTTCCCGGAAAAAGAAAACAAAAACAAAACAAAACTTCATAAAAGAAAAGAATCCTAAGGCCACAGACAGGGCTGGGAAAAGTTTGCCACACAACAATAGTAAAAATACTGTGTAGCTGTTTTGTGTATTTCCCTCCTACTTGTGGCAGTAATGAACACCAAGGTGCAAAGGGAAAGGAACACTGGCTGTGCTGGTGAAGACTAGTCGCCTTGGCCAGGCCTGGGATCTCAGAGGTTTGGCAGTAATGTGATGATGTTCTTGGGCAGTTTTGTAATGGTCCAGTTATCTTCCATTTTGGGATCTGATGTGGCCACCCCCCACACGATGCCAGTTTGGTGTAATGATCTGGTATTTGGAACCTATCCAAGTTGATGTGTGAGGAGTGAATTTATATGTCAGGAGATGATGATGTGTGTCAAATTCAGTCATGTTTGTACTGTTGTTGTTGTTAAGTCTTGTCAGTTCTGACTCATAGCAACCCTGTATAGGGTTTCTGAGGCTGTAAATCTTCGAGGGAGCAGAAAACCTCATCTTGTGCATAGCAGCTCGTGGTTTGAATTGTGGTCCTTGTGGTTCATAATTACTGCCAAAAAACTTAACCTCTTCTTAAAGATTTAACTATTTGTAAAACTGTGACATTCTGTTTGAGGTAGCTAGTGTTTGATCTGAAGAACATTCAGAATGAGAAGCAGTGTCAGACATAGGCAGCCTTTGATGATAAATAACTTCTCAAGAAATAGCTTGTTTCTGAATCATTAGGAACTTGGAAGTGGTTAATACGATTTTCAGAAATGAAAGGGAGCATACCAGGCAGAAGTGAAATGGATTCTTTAAACTTTCTTCTGGTTAATACTTTAAAAAAACGAACAGGTGAAGCTTTGAAGAACTGCTCCCTTGAGGTATTTACTTCTCAGGTTGAACAGTTTCATGCTGAGTTGTTCTGTAAATTTTTTTTTTTTTTTGAGTGCCTGGACTCTAGAAAGATAAGAATTCTTATCTTAAATGCCTTTCAAGATAAATGATTCTTTATAATAATAATAATAAAAATGACAGTAATTCACATTTGTGGAACATCTGGAGGATGAAAAAATAGGTTGATTTTTTTCCATAATCCCATTACCTGGAAAAGAACACTTGAACCTTTTGGTTACTGTTGGTCACATAATATTATTTTAATAATATCTTAAAATGTACATCTATATGTACTTTGTAGAACATTGGACTTATGCTGAAAGTATTAAATCTGTTTCCCCACATACCTACCCACTGACTGATTTTCTCATTTTATTAAATATTCTTTATACAGTACTTAAATTTTTTCTTAAGCTGTGAGTTACATCAAGTTAGAGTGCCCAGTCCAGTGAGCCCCCATATAACCGTCACTCTTCCTTCCACGCCCTCACCTGCACGCTCCCCTCCCACTCTGGGTTATGTTGAAGCACATTCCAGCATGCAAGTGTGTTTCTATTTGTCAGTGTTGTTAAGTGCCTTTGAGTTGGTTCCAACTCATAGCGAACCTGTTTAAGGTTTCCAAGGAGCGATTGGTAGGTTTGAACTGCCGACCTTGCTCTTAGTAGTCCAGTGCTTATCCTACATTGCCACACGAGGACTCTGTTGTCAGTGTTAAGTATCTCTAACAGATAAGGACTCTTCAAAATCACAATTACATATCCCGATGAGCCTGAAACATTTAAATATTAAACTGCTTAATTTAGCTCTGGTAGCGTAGTGGTTACGAATCGGACTGCGAAACTTAAGGTCAGCAGTTCGAAACTACCAGTTACTCCGTGGGAGAAAGATGAGGAGGCTTTCTACTCCCGTAAAGATTTACAGCCTCGGAAACCCTGTACAGGGTCGCTAAGGGTCGGAACTGACTCCACAGCACTTAACAACAACAACAATTTAAGTAAACATCTTGTCATTTGAAACTTAATATTTTACCACTGATTGCACCCTAATTTTTATTTAGCTTTATTGATGCACATCTTAAAATTCACCCACTGAAAGGTTACGATTCAACGAATTAGAAAATTTGCCAAGTCAAGCAGCTCTCCTCATAGTCCAGTTTGAGAACATTGCCATTAACCCAGTGAGATCTCCTACTAGTTTACTGCTGAGCCCCGTTCTCCTCCCCAGCCCCTAGAACCAGAAACCAAACCCACTGTTCCTAAGTCAGTTCCATCTCAGAGCGATCTGTTGGGACAGTGGAACGGTTTCATGGTTTCTGGGACTATAAATCCTATGAAAGCAGACAGCCTCATCTTTCCCCTGAGGTTAGCAGTCCAGTGCTTAACCCATGGTGCCACCACGGCTCTGTCTCTTCCAGCCCAAGCAACAACTACTCTACTTCTTGTATCTGTAGTTCCTGCCTTTTCTGGAAGTTTCGGATAAATGGAGTCCTGTAACATGTGAGCTTGTGTGAATGCCTCGGTCCTTCAGCAGAATACATTTGCCGTTCCCCTCTGTTGCAGTATGTGTGTTCTTTTCTTTTTATGGCTGAATCGTATTCAGTTGTAGGGCTATAGACTAGAATTTCTCAAGGCAGTTTCCTCCGGTTAGATGATCATTATTTTTTCCCTTTATTCAGGGAAGTATCCTTGGGGTTAATGATGTTCTAGATACGTTTTTATTCAGATCCATAATTTGTACTTAGGAGAAATTTCTTCATGAGAGATTGCTGGTCCAAAGGATATTTTTGAGGTTTTTTTTGCTTGTTTTGTTTTAATCTAATAACCATTACCGAACTGCTTTCCAGAAAAAGCATGCCAGTCTGTACACCCTTGAGTAGTTTTTGAGAGTATACTTTTTCCCAAGCTTCCACCAGTATTGCGTTGTTTTTTTTTATTAGATTGTGAAAATCACCTCCAAAGCCGTCACTGTTTTAAAACAATTGCCTCATGGTTTTTGCAGCTCAACCAGACTGTAAGTTCCTTCCAAAGAAAATTTGTTGGTGAGATGAAGAGGTGCGAAGAACTGGAGAGAATACTGGGTAAGTTTGTTTCCTAGTTTCATAACTTAAATAATCATTTTAATATAATCAAACCATGTTGATGTTAGAGGGAAATATAGGAAAATGTAGCTAAGCAGAAGTGACACAAGAAACCGCCCGCGTACCCCAGACTTCAGGCTTGTCATGGTTTTGCAGGTACATAGTACCTTTCCATGGAGTCCAGGGGTGGCGCTGTGGGCTAATGCGCTGGACTGCAAAGTTGGTTTGAACTGCAAGCTCACCAGCTGCACCTAGGAGACCTTATACAGGATTGCTGTGGGTTGGTACCGACTCGACGGCACTTAACAATTACCTTTCCCTGCTTCTTATTACTGATGTCTAAGAGAAGTCTTTCTAAACAAGGGTCAGGTTATTTAGTGTTCCCTTTGGGTCTCACTTACCCGTGCTAATTGTGACTATCTTTCTGTTCTGGTTTGTGTGGCTGCAGTGTATGTAATTGTATGAACGCACCATGGTTTGTTTAACCCGTCTACTGTAGTGTATGGTAACTTACAAACATTGGCTACATGAGAAGGACCAAGGGAGGCAGGAAATGGCAGGTATTTTGGTTAGAAGTTTAACCCGTCTACTGTAGTGTATGGTAACTTACAAACATTGGCTACATGAGAAGGACCAAGGGAAGCAGGAAATGGTAGGTATTTTGGTTAGAATCATTTCCTTTTCTTCAGGGCTTTAGTGAATGTGTTAGATCAGTGCCCTAGGCTGCTTCTCTTATATCTAAAATCTTTAACCTGCTTTGTTGGAAATAGTCCTTATCAAGGTAAGTCTTGAAGTTCTGGCTGAAGTACATGGTCAAAATGATCTCAAACCAAGGATTGCAGTGGAGCCTTTGTTTTTTGAAGGCTGGTCCTGCGAGAGGGAGTTGTGGGAAGGATGTGATTTGGAATGATTTCTGTTGTAAAAAAACCAATGCAGATAGTTGCTGTAGATTTTCTGTTGTTTAGTTGGGGAATTTTTTTTTTTTTTTTTAAATGTTTTATTGTGAACTATGTGATAGTTTACTTGGGAGCACATTAGTTTTACATTCATCCAACTGTATATCATTTCATTGCTATGGCTTAATCGGGGATTTTTAATATCGGAGAAGGAAGTATGTCGCCATTGGAAACCGATTCTTTTTCACATTCGTATACATTGTGCGCTGAGAGGAGTCCTGGTGGTTCAGCGGGTTAAGCATTGGACTGCTATCAGAAAGCTTTTCAGTGTGAACCCACCAGCTAACTCTGAAGGCAGTACACTTCTTTTTAGATTTGTAGTCATGGAACAGTTGTCCTGTGCTTTATGGGGTTGTTATGAGTTGGAATCAATTCGCGGCCAGGAGGTAAAAGGGTGGACATTAAATGGCGTTGCATTTCGCCCTTTGAACAAATGGAAGTCATTAAACACATAGTATATTTGGAATGAAGTTTTTAAAGGAGGCCCAAAGCGGTAACACAGCCAACATGTGCAGGATTTCCTGTAACTTCTTAGTTGTTGTTGTTGTTGTTGTTTTTTTTAATTAACTTTTTATTGTGATTTGTGTAAAAGTTTACAGATCAGATTGGTTTTCCATTCAACAACTCATACCCATTTTGTTTCATGGCATTAACTGCGGTCCCCACAATGCACCAGCGTTCTTCCCACTCCAGCCTTCTGGACTTTCTCCCCGGGCAGATGCTGCCCTTTTGATCTCATGTGGCTGCTGCTTCTAAGGAGTCTCCCTGGTGTTATTGTTCATCTTCTAGGCCTCTCTGTTGGGGGCTGAAAGTTGCTCCATGGGCATGAGTTCAGACTTGAGGGGTGATTAAGAGCCACAGTCGCAAGGCTTCCCCCAGTTTCTGTGAGACTAGTAAGCTTAGTCTCTGATGATGCTGTGTTTTGTTCCACATTTTTCTCCTACTCTTTCCCTGACCTTCTGTTCTCATCCCTTTATTGTGTTCAGTAGTAGTAGCTGGGTGCCATCTTGTTCTTCTGGTCTCCGGATCTTGGGGTCTGGGATTCACATGGTCCATTTTCCGTTTGGACAAGTTGTTTCTATGTATTTTTAATTTTCTTTATTCTTTTTTTTTTGAGGAGTGATCAGTAGGTGTATCTTAGATGGCTGCTCACAAGCTTTTAAGAGCCCAGTCACCATTCACCAAAGTAGGGTATACAGCATTGTCTCTGGGGACTGTCAGGCCAGCTCACCTTCATGTCCTCTAGATGGTGGTCCTGAGACCCCAGGACCAGCCACTTGTTCCCTCAAGGTATTTGGTTATGCTAACAAGTGTCGCTAACTCTTGCTCCTGTATGCTTGGTTATACATGGACCTATTTGCAGTCCATGCATATGTGTACATAGAAATACCCTATTGTAGTCCCATTGGTCTTCCCTTACCGTTTCAGTGTGTCTCTGTGTACCTAACTGGTAGGTTACTGTTAGTACAGGGTTGCAGATGTGATAGTACTTACCGATGTTGCGTTTGACTCCTATGTGCCTCCCACTGTCTTCTTTGCCTTGATTGTTTTGTACTGACCTCATCCTTATTGTATATTGTCTTTCGCTTATAGCTTAAACTGCTTTAAAAAGAGTATAACTTCCCAAAGGAGGAACTCTCAAGTGATTTTAGGTGTGTTGTTGATGAAACATTTTTGCACTTTTATTTAAAAAGAAAAAAATACGACAGCTCATAACACATTTCAGAAGTGTGATGTCTGATGATGACTTTACACCAGGCATTGTGACCTTTGTCCTAAGGAAAAGGGCGTTTCATGAAACTGAAAATATCCAGGAGAAGTGATACAGTGAGCTGGGTTAGTTCACTCTTGGTTCCGTGAATCTGGCTTTTCATTTAAGCAGTGAAGCAGTGGGGGGCATGTTGAGTCCGAATACCACACGTACTGGGAAGTTTCAGGAGAGGCCGGCTTTCTGCCTTGTGTCTTACAAGGATTCCTTTTGCTGACAGTCTTCCTGATTGTTTGGGTGGGCAACAATCCCACCTAAGGGTGGCCTGCAGGGAAGTCCCACTGCTGTCTCTTGGGGTCTTAGTTACCAGTGTTACTGACCCCCAATGAGATGGACTGACACAGTGGTTGAAACAAAGGACTCAAATGTAGCAATAATTGTGAAGATCGTGCTGGACCGGGCAGTGTTTCATTCTGTTGTGCACGGGGGTCACTGTGAGTGGGGTCACTGTGAGTGGGGTCACTGTGAGTGGGAGCCACCTCGACAGCACCTGACAACAGCTGTCACACAAATACCATAAACAGTGACTTGAAAGATCAGAAATTCCACACGAGATCAAATCGTCTGCATTTTCCCAGGGACCAAGTCCGGAAGGCAGTCAGGGATAGGAAAGACGGAGGAAGGGAAACAGGAAACACAGGAAGAAGTAGGAAGAGTGCTGTTGTACTGTGGGAATTGCAATTAATGTCCTGAAACAAAATGTTTATGAATTGTTGAATGGAAAACCATCTCTCAAATTACAATTTAAAACAGTAAAATAAAGAAGAGAAGTGTATTTTCCGCCCAGTTTAAGGAGAGTCACACAATCTGAATTTGGGGCAGGGTGTGGGAGAGGTCCCTCTTGGTCTGTTTCAGCTCCTAGAAGCCAGCTATTGTTGGCGTGCTCCTGAACTTGAAGAGCCATCACCTCCCTCCTCATCACATAGTGTCTGTCCGCCTCTTTGTTTCTGTGATTATGCTGCTCTGTGTAACTTAGAAAGTTAAATGCGCCAGACTGCAAAGTCGGTTTGAACTGCAAGGTCGGTGGTTCAAGCTCACCAGCTGCTCCTTGGAAACCCTATACAGGATTGCTATGGGTCAGAACTGACTCAGTGGTACTTAACAACAACAACAACAACATGACTTAGAAGGGGTTAGATTTAGGACGTACTCTTCACTCCTGGGACTTCATTGACAAAGAAAACCCTGTTCTCTGTTAGGATGATGTCCAAGGACCAAGATTCTTGTACATGTTTTAGGAGGGCATACTCAGTCCATCACAACTACTTTAGACCCATTGCTAGGTATTTCTGTAATTCCAAGTGTGCTCAGAATTTCCATCACAACTACTTTAGGCCCATTGCTAGGTATTTCTGAAATGCCAAGTGTGCTCGGAATTTTCTGTCTCTTGATGCAGAGACAGTATGGCTCAAATTTTTTTATAACTCAAGTTTTATTTTTGGTCTCAATTTCTTGTTTTTATAACCATTTATTGTGATTTGGGTGAAAGTTTACAAAGCCAGTTGGTTATTCATTCCACCACTCATACACAGTTAGCTTCCTGACATGGCTCACGACCCCCAGAGCGTAGCAGCACTTTTCCCACTTCCTCTCTGGGTTTCCTAATTCCATTCATCTTTCTGTCTTACCCCTTCCTGCCTTCTGAACTTTCTTCCTGAGCCAGTGCTGCCCTTTAGATCTTGTTTGGTTGTTTGTTCTAAGGATTTACTGGTACTTTAGACTTCAAGAAAATTTGGGGAATTTCAGAAAAATGTTTATCCAGATTATTATTTATTTTGTCATCACATGCCAGTCTCTGTCAGAGGCATTATTTTTCGGATCTTTGAATGCAAGTTTGAGAAAAACGGACCTGTAAGTCCATTGGAACATACAAGGATTTTTGTGTGTGTTGACATTTGTATTTAGAGGGCCTAGGAGGGACCAGTCACTAGAGAAGGAGATCATGTTTGGTAAGGTAGAGGGTCAGAGACAAAGAGGAAGACCCCCAGTGGGATGGAGTGGCAAAGTGGTACCATCATTGGGGCTCAAGGCAACAATAGTGAGGTTGGCCCAGGATCAGGCAGTGTTTCGTTCTGCTGTGCATAAGGTCGCTATGAGTTGGCACCGACTCGATGGCACCTAACAACAACAAGAAGGGTGGGAATTAAATGTTCGACTGAAACATATTTGGTTTCTCTATCTAATTTTTTGTTTTTTACTTTTACTTTTGCAGCGTATTTAGTGCAGGAGATTAATAAAGCAGACATCCCCCTTCCTGAAGGAGAAACCAGCCCTCCTGCTCCTCCTCTGAAGCAGGTGCTAGAAATGCAGGTAACATATCCCCAAAGAAGCAGCGTCAGGTCCCGGATTTCAGAGACTGCTTATCCGCTGGTGGTAGATTGTTCAGTGCATTTCTGCTTTCTCCAGAATGTGGAATGAAAATGAAAGGACAGTAGCGTGCTTGACCTTCCACAATCAGCTCTAACTGTAATTCACCTTCTGCTTGGGAGCGTGAAAATGTTTGTGGAATAATAGACTGAAAAAATCATGGAATTTTTCCATGTGCTTTTTGAATTGCAGCCTTTTACAGTGTGCGACACAGTCTTGCTTTCCAAATGGTGTTGTAACAGAGACTAGGGAAAACTAGACCGTTCCGTGCGGTGCCTCGTCATGTAATAAAGCTCGTTCTGGAACCATCCACACTGCTGCTGGCTTTGCCTAGTCGTACTCCCTTCACATTCCTTCCAGATTCACTCTGAACCCTCTTCCCTCTGCACGTTCGAGAGCTAGTTGGAGGACAGTTGTCTGTTAAAGGTACATAGCAAACAGTCCCTTCACCCCAAGTGCAGGATCTCATTCACTGGGGAAAAAGCTTCCTTCCCTCTGTGACAACACAGACTGGTTTTAGGCATTGGCCCTATCCATGAATTATCTATTGTTGTCCTAGTTCATTACTTTGGGAAACAAACTAGCATTCTTTATCTTTTAACAATGATTATTATGTAATTAAGGCTGCTCTGCTTATCTGACCGGAAGTCACTTAACATATGGGATGTGAGTGGACTCTAGTCTCTAGAGAGAATTCTACAATAAAGATGAGTAGAAAGCTGTCATCTGGTTTGGCCTGTTGGCGGGGTTGGCTGTGAGATAATTATCAGTACAGTCATTTCTGTTTATGGTTTTTGTGAGGCAGCCCGGAGTGATGAATGTAGTGCATTAAGTGGTTGTTTAAATATGAGTCTGCATCGGACTTGGTGGTTTGTTGTACAAATTTCTACTTACAGTGATTTAGTACTTAATTACCATTAGGAGGCTTAGAATGTAACTATTTCTAAAAAAGATCAGCTCTCAGGAATTCCCTCTGCCGTCACCCAGTAGCAGATATATGACAAGCAAGGAGTTAACTGTATCATAGGAAGTATTATATTTTGACCACTAAAGTTAAACAGTTTTTTAATTTTATGTTTAACAATATTTTTTATATTTTTCTTTTGGTGCATCAGTCACTTGACTCCTGAAGATTAAGCCTTTCTTTCTAAAGGAGAATTTTTTTCTGAAGGGAAAATGGACTCTTTAGCAGATTAATCTTGGTGTGGCGCTGTGGGATAATGCACAAGGCTGTTTTGAACCACAAGGTTTAAACTCACTAGCCACTCCTTGGAAACCCTATGTAGGGTCACTGTAAGTCATAACTGACTTGACGGCACTTAACAACATATATAACAACATATACATATATATATATATCCACACACATTCGTATTATATGTTACGGAGTCCTGGTGTGGCGCTGTGGGCTAATGCATCAGATTGCAAAGTCATGTGGAACTGCAAGGTCGGTGGTTCAAGCTCGCCAGCCGCTCCTTGGAAACCCTATATTGGGGTTGCTGTGGGACGGCACTTAACAACAACAGTTTATGTTATACTTTGTTAACCGTAGAACAGCTTTTTTTTTAACTTTTAATTTTAATTAATTGCTTTATCGTGGTGAAAATCTATGCTTCAAATTATGCAAAATAGATGAAAAAACACACAAAACCCACACATTTTTTTTTGATGTGCCACCGTTAAGTGAATGCTGTTCTTTTTCAAAAAGTTCCTGCCGTCAATTAATAATAATGTCTCAAGAACTTTTATGCTCAATTAGTTATGCAAATGAAAATGCATAGCAACTTGTAAGCTAGAGACTAGGAAAATTAAGTATATATGTCAAAACAGACATTCTAAATTTTTTCCCTATTTTAAATGAAAGGACACACAGATTTGAAAGCAGATGATGAGCTAACCAGAAGAGCCGACAGGCGTGACAGGATGAGGAGGGAGGAGTGTTAGAGCGCTTCCCTACTGCAGCATCCCGCGTGCTTTGTTCTGTCAGATGTGAGTGGAATTTCGTAGACATTGTCCGAATCCACAGGAGCCCATAAATGTCGGAAGAAACCATGGATGCAGAGTGGTTAAAGCACTTGGTTGGTAGCTGAGAGGTTGGGGTGGTGGGGGTTTAGGGAGTTATGTACCCATCAACCACTCTGGCTCTGTGGGAGACACATGTGGCATTCTGGTTCTTTAAAGATGACTGCCTTGTAGCTTACAGAGAAAAGACAGTCTCTATGGGATGAAACTGATGACAGCGAGATCCGATAGGACCCAGTGGGGGCAGTGTGAGAAGAGCAGGGTGAGAAGGATTGGACAAGTGGTAGGATTTGTCATCAGCGTCACGTGTAGACACTGTTGATTGGTATGTGCTTTCCTGTGTGTATTAGCAGTAGCAGCAGCAGCAGCGCAATAAAGACTATACCGCCTCCAAAACCCTGTGGGCGCTTCTACTTTGTCCCATAGGGTCACACTGTGACAGCAACCAGTTTCTATGGGAAAAAATAATAGACCTCTAAATTCTTTGCACTTTTTCATATCCTTATCAAAGCAGCATGAATCCTGACTTTGAAAGCTCCAGTAATGATTTGGTGTGCTATAAAAGGCCATTGAAATCACATTTGGAATGAAATTGGACTACCTCTATTTTCTTTCAGGAGCAGTTGCAGAAACTCGAGGTTGAACTAAGAGAAGTGACAAAGAACAAGGAGAAACTAAGGAAAAACTTGCTTGAACTGATCGAGTACACTCATATGCTGAGGGTGACCAAGACCTTGGTAAAACGCAACGTGGAGGTACTGAACCCCAGCTGTCACCAGGAAAACCTTCTTCTGTGTCAAAGCTCCTTTCCCAAGGCTGCAGGATTTGTTGTCAGTCCAATGCGATGTATTTTTTTTTCCCCAGTTGGACTGTATGACATTAAAAAACAAAACAAAACTAAAAGACTTTACAAGTTCTTTCTAGTGTTGGTTGGTTTTAGCATTAACAGTACTTTATATTTGTAAATTTCTTGGTTTGCAGTTGAAAAAATTCTTAGTATGATCGTGACAAAAATTTAATGGAAGAAATTGAACTCTAAAAATCAGGGTTTCCAAATAACTAAGAGTTAAAATTTTTTTGAAAAGCTTTCGTGTCTTAAGGATACTAAGTCGTCGTCACAGTGGAGAGGCTAGAATGGAAAAGGACATCCTTCTAAGTCAGTTTCACCCGAGTCGTGACTTCTACCAAACAGATCCTAACTTGGAATGAGGCAATAACTTAACGGATACCTGTTCTTTTAAGTGAATATGTTCAGGTGGCTTACAGATGAGGGATGGGGAAATTAGTTTCTAGTAGGCAGAGCTGAGGTTCGTGTCTAAGTGATCATGGGGCTTTGGTTCCCATAGCGAAGTAGTTCGTGACCGTTACTGCCCCCCCCCCCCAAGCTTGTTTGGAAACATGAGAAAGGTGGTGCTGCTTTTAACAAGATCCACTTGGTTTTCTGTGTCTCTTTACAGTTTGAACCCACGTATGAAGAGTTCCCTGCCTTAGAGAATGACTCTTTACTGGACTACAGCTGTATGCAAAGGCTTGGCGCAAAACTGGGGTAGGTGACAGCGACAGACATCAGCCTTCACTACTTGTTGAAGGACAGTGTCTGAATGGGTACCGTCTTATGCCTGGGATTCAATGTACGAAAGCCAATGCAGATTTCAGCTAACACTGCAGTCTTGTGTTTGTTGAATGACATTATTCAGCCATACTGACTTTGTCGACATATGGTGGTCATGTGACCTGCAATGAATTAACTTTTGTGACACTCAGTGTTAACTCCCATAAACTGAGACTCATTGATGGTACAGAGTCTTGTTTTATTTGGTGAGAACCCAGTCTTTATTATTGATGCCTAGTACGGCACTGTAGGATAAGTACTGGACCACAAGGTCAGTTTGAACTGCAAGGTCGCCGAGTCAAACTCACCAGCTGCTCCTTGGAACCCTATACAGGGCCACTATGAGTTAGAACCGACTCGGCAGCACTTAACAACAGCAGCAATCTAATGGGAACTGGTTTTCCCCATGTGATTAGTTGTTTGCTTGTTTTTATGAACTTAAGTTCCTCTGCTCTGTGCTAAGAATTCAGTAGTGTTTTGTTTGAGGATCTGTTTCTGAAAAGAGAATTCATTTTTACATTTGTCAGGGAAATGGGCGTGTTCTTCTCAGCTGGAATCATTTTGTACTCATTCAACTTGGGCTGATTTATTAGTCTTTTGACACAGAAACTAATATGAATTTAAGCCAAAAACCAGAGCTGAATTCTAGCTGGTGGCTATTAAATCTCAGGAAAGTCTTTTTCAACTTCATCTGGAACTCAAGTGTAGATAAATTTTTTGTAGGCTCCTCAGTGAGCTCCTCAGGTCACTGTACCAAAAGGAAATGGTTGATGTTTAACCATTTCAAGAGGTAGCATATGATCAAGAGCCAATGGTACCGAAGGAGGAAGTCCAAGATGCATTGAAGGAATTGGCAAAGAACAAGTCACTAGGAATTGATGGAATAAAAATTTGAAATATTTCAAGAAATTGAGGTGGCACTGGAGGCACTCACTCATCTTTGCTAAGAAATTTGGAAAACAACTGATTATCTGGCCAACTGATTAGAAGAGATCTGAATTTGTGCCCATTCCAAAGAGAAGTGACTCAGTGGAATGCAGAAATCGGAAAATATCTCTGCTATCACATGCAAATAAAGTTTTACTAAAGGTAATACAGAAACGGCTACAATCATACATTGACAGAGAACTTCCATAGGTTCAAGCCGGATTCAGAAGAGGCTGTGGAATGACGGATATCATTGCTGATGTCCGATGGATCTTGGCTGAAGGCAGAGAATATCAGAAAGTTGTTTACTTGTGCTTTATTGACTACACAAAGGCTTTCGATTGTGTGGATCATGACAAGCTACGGACAACATTGTGAAGCATGAGTATTCTAGAACACTTAATTGTGCTCATGAAGAATCTGTACATAGACCAAGAGGCAGTTGTTCAAACAGAACATGGGAACACTGAATGGTTTAAAATTAAGAAAGGTGCTCGATAGGGTTATATTCTTTCACCATAGTTATTCAGCCTGTATGCTGAACAAATAATCCGAGAAGCTGGATTATGTGAAGAAAAACGTGGCATCAGGATTGGAGGAAGATTCATTAACAACCTGTGATATGTAGATGATACAACCTTGCTTGCCGAAAGTGAAGAGGATTTAAAATACTTAACGGTGAAGATCAACGACCATAGCCTTTGGTATGGATTGTATCTCAATGTAAAGAACACAAAAATCCTCACCACTGGACCAATAAACAACATTCTTATCAACGGAGAAAAGATTGAAGTTGTCAAGGACTTCATTCTTCTTGGATCAACTATCAACACTCATGGAAGCAGCAGTCAAGAAATCAAACGATGTATTGCATCAGGCAAATCTGCTGCACAGGAACTTTTTAAAGTATTGAAGAGCAAAGATGTCAGCTTGAGAACTAAGGTGTGCGTGACCCAAGCCATGGTATTTTCACTAACCGCGTATGCATGTGAAAGCTGGACAGTGAATAAGGAAGACCATAGAAGAATTGATGCTTTTGAGTTATGGTGTTGGAGAAGAATATTGAAAGTACCTTGGACTGCCAAAAGAACAAACACATCTGTGTTGGAAGAAGTGCAGCCAGAGTGCTTCTTGGAGGCCAGGATGGCCAGACTTTGTCACTCATACTTGGGATATATCGTCAGAAGGGACCAGTCACTGGAGAAAGATACCATGTTTGGTAAGGTGGAGGGTCAGAAGAAAAGAGGAAGACCCCCAGCGAGATGGATTGGCAAAGTGGCAGCATCAATGGGCCCAAGTGTGGCAACAATTATGAGGTTGGCCCAGGACTGGGCAGTGTTTCGTTCTGTTGTGCATAGGATCACTATGAGTCTTACTGACTTGATGGCACCTAACAACTACAACACAACAGTGAGGTGGAGTTTTTTTCAGTCCACTCATTCATGGGTTGTATCCTTTCACCATACTTAATCTGTGTGCTGAGCCAATCATCGGAGAAGCTGAACTATATGAAGAATGCAGCATCAGGATGGGAGGAAGACTCATTAACAACCTGTGATATGCAGATGACACTTCCTTACATGCTGGAAGGTAAGAGGACTGGATTACTTACTGATGAAGATCACAGACTAACGCCTTCAGTGTGGATTATATTTCAACACAAAGGAAACCTTTGTGAAGTTGTTAAGGATCTCATTTTACTTGCACCAATAATCAGTGCTCATGGAAGAAGCAATCAGGTCATCAAATTATATATTACATTGGGCAAATCAGCTGCAAAGATCTCTCTGTAAAGTATTAAAGAGTAAAGATACCACTTTGAGAACTAAGGTGCGCCTAATCCAAGCCATGATCTTTTCAGTTGCCTCATTGCTTGCGACTAAGGAAGATTTGATACAATTGGATTATGGTGCTGATGACTATATTGACTATACCACAGCGGTCAGAATGATGAACAAATTGGTGTTGTGGGAAGCAGTACAGCCAGAATGCTCCTTAGAAGTGAGATCGATGAGACTTTTCCCGTGTAATTTGGGCATGTTATTAGGAGGGATCAGTCCCTGGAGAAGGACATTCTGCTTGATAAAGTAGAGGCTCAGTGAGAAAGAGGAAGACCCTCAAGGAGATGGCTTGACAGAGTGTCTGCAGTAGCAGTCGGCTCCAACGCAGTAGGTACGTGAGGGTGGTGTAGGACTGGGCGGTGTTGCGGGCTGTTGTACATGAATGTTATGACTTGGAGCTGACTCGGTGACATCTAACAGCATCATCAGCAGTAACACTCATAGGAGGTGTAGTGTAGCCCTATGTGCGAGGGGGTAGGAGTGTCTCAACTTTAGGAGCATTCAGTTTGATCTCCTCACTCACCTAACATTGAACAGGGCTGTGTGTGTCTCTTCTCTCCCTAAACCCTTGGATACAGTTCAGCACTTCAGGACCGCTACAAGGTCCTGTTTTATTTTTAAATCCTAAGAATTTCCTTTATTTATAGGCTTAGCTATACACTTACAAGAGTCCTGGTGTGGCGCTGTAGGATAAGACTGGACCACAAGGTCAGTTTGAACCAACAGATCGGCAGGTCAAACTCACCAGCTGCTCCTCAGAAACCCTACACAGGATCGCTGATTCGGAATCGACTCCATGGCATTTAGCACAACATTGTACTTAAACAGATGTTTCAAACATATTTTATCTAGCATCTGCAGATGTTGTGGAGTCGAACAGTTTCAGATGCCTTCTCTACCTTATTGCCAGCAATGGAAGTCTTCCTTGTTCTTTTGATGATGCTTTGACATCTGTTTCCTCCAGTTGACTATAGGTTGTCTTTCTTGTCTTTTAGATTTGTGTCTGGCCTTATTAGCCAAGGAAAAGTTGAAGCTTTTGAAAAAATGTTGTGGAGGGCCTGCAAAGGTTACACCATCGTGACCTATGCAGAACTGGACGAGTCCCTCGAAGACCCTGAAACAGTGAGTAAATGTCCTGGTCACCCTTTAACCATCAACAGACCAGCAGAAAACATGGAGGTCCAGTATACAGACCTAGTTTCTCTGGAGCCATTTGAGAGGCTGTTGCTAACTGGATGCTCCGTTGGTTTTGAATATATTCTTTATGAGTTCTGAAACACAAGGACTGGTGTGGCACTGTGGGCTAATACGCCAGACTGCAAAGCCATTTGAACTGCAAAGTTGGCAGTTCAAGCTCACCAGCTGCTCCTCGGAAACCCTCTACAGGGTCGCTATGGGTTGGAACCGACTCGATGGCACTTCACAACAACAACAGAACACTCTTTTATTCTCACAGTTTATAAACCCTCCAGCCAGCCCGAGTCACTGCCGTCTAGTTGGTTCGTATTCATAGCAGCCATACTGGGCCCAGGAGAGCTGCCTGAGGGTTTCTATTGCTGTCAGTGTTGAGGGAAGCAGGCAGCCACGTCTGTCAAGGCGCAGCGAAGCACTTTAACCACTGCATCACCAGGGCTCCTTCATTATCACGATGCAGCCATCCAAGTCAGGGCATCCACACAGAAATGGGAGTCCTGCTATGGCTCTGTGGGTTAATGTGCTAGACCGCATGCTCTGTTTGAATGGCAAGGTTGGTGGTTCAAATCCGCCAGCCAGTCCTCAGAAACCCTATAAAGGATTGCTGTGCGTCGAAACCTACATAAACAATAGCAGCGCAGAAATGCCTCTGCCCTCTGATCCTCTGAGCCCGTTCAGACTTCACCCCTTGTTCAGCCCAGTGTTGTTCTGGAAGCTTCACTCATCTTCTTAGGGAGGGACTTAGGAGATCTTGGACACTTTTGAGTATTACAAACCAATTCTTTAGTAGCACATACTTCGCTTGTCCTATGCTTCCTCATGACTAGTGCCCAGAAGTGTGTCTAGGGCAGGAACCTCCCAGAAAGGACCCATCGCTGGATCCTTCCAGGTGGCGCACAATTTCAGCTTGTCCATGACTAGTGGTGTTCATCTTGAACTCTTGATTCCATTGAAAGTTCCTAGACTTCTTGGGAAAATGCTCTTTTTTTTTCTTGTAATTATTAAGAATTTGAAGGGAAAGTGCTTGAAACGATGTCATTTCCTATTCCTTATCAGATTTCCAGTTCATTTGTTTTATTCAGTGGATTGTATTCTGTTACAAATTGTTGTTCGTTTTAACACCCAGATTCTCCCAGACTTGGCCAGTTGGAGCCCCTTCAGTCCGATTTTTTTGTCCTTTCTACAGGTTCCTTTCTCTTTGTTTTTTTTAAAGCAATACCTTGCTTTTTTTCACAGTGCAGTGTTCTGAATTCATTGTAGCATTTCCCTCACAGGCTCTAGAATCAACCATTTCTCCAAGATGTGTGGTTCTGTTAGCAGAGAATGGTCTTTAGAAGTCAGAATGCAGTTGCTGGGGGTGCATGTTGATAGTGTGGCTGCTCCCAGGCTCTGAGTGGACAGTTCTGTGAGTTGTGCACATGATACGTGTGCACACGCACACTCAAGCAGAAGTACATACATACACACATTGGTAGCTTACTGGATACTGAAAGCTGTGAGTTCACATCCGGTTCAAATCTATCGTCAGAATTCGTTCTAGTTTTCACCTTGTGTTTGTAATTCCTTCAACAGTGAGACACTTAGATCCTGTGATTTTAACTAGGGTTGCTACTTTGATGAATCCCTCTGCCTGTTTGAGCTCCAAGTTTTCCATCTGGGTGGCCCCCAGGAATGGATACCTTGTTACTCTGCTGGGGTTCTGACACGGTGTGCCCTGCCGTTCCCAGTGTGCATGCCTCCTCACCTTGCTCTGTGAAGTGTCTGTCATACCAGGCGGCTACTCCCTTTGACCACTTTTTCTTCCATGGAGGCTCACCTCCCTTTGTCTGGGCGACTCTTTGCACGGATGCCTGTCTCAGCCTGCTTGGGCTCTGATACCTGCCCTGGACACCCTTCTGCGTGGGTGCCTCCTCACCCTCGGGGTCTGGCATCTGCCCTGGACTGCTGTTGTTCTTCTCCCACAGTTCCTCCCTCCTGTCTACCTACTTCATGGTTTTCGGTGTGAATTGTTCAGAAGGGAGGTGGAGGAGCAAGGCAGGGAAAGCCGCAATCCCCTTTTGAGATGTCTCTGTTTTTATATTTCACAGCACAAACCATTGCATTGCTCTGAAAGAGTGTGAACTGATCAGTCAATGGTAGAAAAGAGAAAAAAGAGTTCCTAATTTATTTTCCCTAAAATTACGTCAGGAATTTTGCCTAAACAATGGATTAGTTCCCTTAGGAGTCTTGGTGGTGCAAGTGGTGAGGCCTTTGACTGCTAACCTAAAGGTTGGTGGTTCAAACCCACCAGCTACTCAGTGCTAAAGATGAGGCAGTCTGCTTCTGTAAAGATTTCCAGCTTTGGAAACCCCATGGGGCAGTTCTAACCTGTCCTACAGGGTTGCTGTGAGATGGCAGTAGGTTTGGGGTTTGAGGTAGGCCAGACATATGCAGAAGAAAGAGGTTGCCTATGAAATGAGCATGACCTGGCTCACAGGCATATTGTGTTCAGTTTTATCTGTTGTTGTTGTTAAGTGCCGTCGAGTCAGTTCCGAGCCATAGTAACCCTGTCCAGGGTTTCGAGCTCCTTTATCTTTTGGGTACTTGTAAATACGTGTTGAGTGAATAAATGAATGAACCAACCTTTGAACAGTGTTCGGCTGCCTGAGTTTTGACAGTTACACCCTCAGAAGTGACAGTCTCCTCATTTACTCTTTGCAGGGAGAAGTCATAAAATGGTATGTGTTTTTAATATCCTTCTGGGGAGAGCAGATTGGCTACAAAGTTAAGAAGATATGTGATTGGTAAGAAAACAAGTAGCTCTTATAGTTTTGTTTGTTTGTTTGAATGTATTCAGTAACCTGTCTTGTTGTAAGCCTATGGGCAGGGTAAAATTGGCTAATCGGGTTTCCAGGGCTGAAATCTGCATGGGGCTGGACCAGCAGGTCTTTTCTCCCCTGGAGGAGCTGGTGGGCTCAAACCACCGACCTTCTGGTTAGAAACAAAGAGCTTTAATCATGTGCCACCAGGGTTCCTTCAGTAATCTCTTGTTTCCCTCTGTATTTGAAAAGAGAAACAGTGGGTTTAAAGACTGCTGCTTGATGATACGTGGTTTCTCTGTCATGGTACCTAGTTCTTAGAATTCAGGTTTGTGGTCTCTTTTGCATGTGTATTTTAAAAGAAACTCAGAGGCAGGAACCACATTAACTATGCGCTTGGGTTTAATTTCCCCCCTTGGGAATCAAGACTTGAGATCATCAAGTGCAGATGGAATCACATTTGATTATTTTGTGCCTTTCTCTTGCTTTCTGCTTTGTCCTGCTTACCTGTTGCCATTGGCCACCTGTTTCACCACTTGGCCATTTCTCCTTTGAGGGGAAGGGGTTGATGAGGGGAGGAATGTAGGCTCCTGGGTTTGGTGTCTTAGCCCTGTCTAAAACGGGATGCCGTTCATCTCTCACACAGTTGTACTAACTGAGATGTTGGATAACAACACAGAAACCTGTGCTCTGGTCAATACACAGGAAAATAAGCAAAAAACCAACAAAACCCCTCAAAGCACACCCCTGACAGATTGCCTAGTTTTTGCAGGGGGTTGGCCAGGCAGGATTCAGTTTACCGAAGTTTGCTGCTCCAGCACTGGTGGTCTGGAGAGCAGTTTTGGGGTGATGCCGAAAACCTTTGGTCATCTTTGTAGAAGTAGATTTATTTTTATATAAGAAAAAATCATCATCAGCGCAACAAAGCCATGGTTTCACAGATGCAAGCTGCAGTGGGGATTTGAGTTTTAAAGTCAGAACTGAGGGACACACCGGTGGTGTGATGGTGAAAACGCTGACGTGGGGCACAGGGGAGGCCTGACTTTCCCCGGTATGTGGGTGTCCCGTGCCCTGTGAGACCATGCTGGCCTCTAGAGGCCACACTGGTGACCTCAGAGACCTGTCACTGTATTGATGGGAAACCAGAGATTCCTCCACTTTCTTCACTCACTATTGTTTTGTTTGTCTTTTTCCTCCCCCCAGTGGGCAACCTGCTTCAGTGTCCACGCTGTGGGCAAGGCGGTCAGGCAGTGATTCAGGGCAGCAGCTTGGTCTGACATGGGACACTGTGATGAGAGGCCCTTTGGGACAGGCCTGCCATAAGTTGCCAAAAGTCTAAACCCATAGTTTTTCCTTCTTTCTTTTTTCTGTTGTTAAAGTAACTATGGTTGTGTTTTAAATTTAAAAAAAAATTATTGTGAATTAAGTGAAGGTTTACAGATAGGATAATGGGTTTTATATTCATCAGATTGTATACTTTGTTTCAACTCAATGATTGCAATCCCCTCCACTTACCAACAGTTGTCCTGTTTCCTCCCTGTGGCTACCCTTGTACAAATATCCTTCTTCAAACTCCTAACGTATCTATAGAATATGAATGTATGTATATCCCACGCTTTCTACCATACCCATTCAGCCTGTGTCTGTCTGTGTATCTACACCCAGACCTTGTGTCGTGTTTGCTTTGGTTTTCTTAAAACCAGTTTAATGATTCTCAGGAGTCCTGGTTGCACAGCAGTTAGGCGCTCAGTTGCTCACGGGAAGGTCAGCAGTTCAAGACTACCCTGTGACTCCATGGGAGACAGAACTAGCAATCAGTTCCCGTACAGATGTCAGCCTTGTGGGGCAACTCTGATGTGTCACATGGGTTGCGGTGAGTTGGAATCGACGTGATGAAACTAAGCCACAACAAATGACTCCCAACCCACGGATGCTGGAGAGCTCTATAGCCTTGGAGTTCCAGGAACTTCCAGGGATTGCTGAGGGCAGGAACAGTATTTGGGTTTGGGAGAGTTTGTTAAATGTGTGCAAGTCAGTAGCTGATGATGGACTGCCCATGTGCTGACTGCCCCTAGGGCCGGCGCCCATACCTGCCCCCTCTACAGCGGGGCCGCTCCTGTTCTATTTTGGACGAGGCTACGTCTTGGTGGTGAATTGAATTTGGTTTAGAAATAGCCTCTTTGAGTCACTGCAGACGTGAGACTGTGCTTCATTCTGTCTTCTAGTTACCACTGCCACATTTACCCCTATCCAAACACCGCGGAGGAGCGGAAAGAGATCCAGGAGGGACTGAATACCCGGATTCAAGATCTTTATACTGTGAGTAAACCGGAAACTCGCCTGTCCTTATCAAAGGGGTGTATGTAAAACACAGAGGAGTCCATTCATTTTCATTCTTTCTTAACTCGGCCAATTTTGGTGGTAGTCAAATCACGGTTTGTTTTTCTTTCATTTTATTGTGATTTAGGTGAAAGTTGACAGAGCACATTGGTTTTCCATTTAACAACTCACACACATTTTGTTTTGTGACATTGATTGCTGTCCACACAATGTAACAGTCCTCTTCCCACTTCCTCCCTGGCTTCCCATTTCCATTTGTCCTTTTTCCCTATCCCTTCTGCCTTTGTTGCTTCTTCGCTGGGCAAATCAAATCAAGGCATTTTTAGTGAGATAGGAACATCACTTCTATCCCTCTTCTCCATGGTCGTTTATTTTAGTAGCCTCTGAGAAACTTGTGACAAAGATTTCTCTGATCACCTTTGATATGTTGGGTTGAAATTCTTCTTCACTAAAGCGAAGCAAACCCATTCCAAATGGCAGGTTTTATTTGGCATGCTCTCTTTTAAATGGTGTTTGTGTTTATCCCAGTTCTTTGGTGGTAGGTAACAGAAGGAAATTCTGAGGGACTAGGATGGGAGTTGGTGGCTCACAGGGCTGACGGAGGTTGGGCCAAGTTCAGTAACAGATGAGAGACTCCAGATCTCTCTCAAAGCCACTTGTTCATGATACAAAAGTCAGGCCATCGGGCCACCAGGGATGACAACTTCTAGCCATTTCTTGTGTCCTCGCTGCATGCTCTTAAGAGCCAGCGTCCAAAGGGAGAGCATGTGAGTGGAGAGGGGAAGGAGCTGCTCATTGGACAGACGCTCTGAAGGCAGGGGCCTGAAAGTGTGTCTGGGTGCTGTGTGGATATGCAGTAAGGAATGCCTGCCATTCAGCTGGTCTCCGTGCTTCCCAAGGTGCTCCACAAAACCGAGGATTACCTGAGGCAGGTGCTCTGTAAAGCTGCTGAGTCGGTCTACACCCGCGTCATCCAGGTCAGGAAGATGAAAGCCATCTACCACATGCTCAACATGTGCAGCTTTGATGTGACCAACAGGTGCCTCATCGCCGAGGTCTGGTGCCCCGAGGCAGACCTGCAGGAGTTGCAACGCGCGCTCGAGGAAGGCTCAGTAAGTCAGCCAGGTTCTGCTGGCCACAGTGACCTGGGGGATACAACAGAGTGTTAGCGTGGCCTGGTTCCAATAGAGGCTCTGTGCGGGCTCTCAACTGAGTCGTTTGTGGGCTTCTCTGGGTGGGGCTCACAGCTAAACACTTGGCTGCTGGCCCTGGGGTTGGATGTTTGAACCCACCAGCAGCTCCTTGGCAGAAAAGCCTGGTGCTCTAATTCTGGGAGATCAGCTACTGAAAAGCCTATGGTGAGCACAGTTCTCTGTGGAATGTGTGGGGTCGCTGTGGTGAAGTGGTCCATGGTGACTGGCTTGGCTTCTGTGTTGGTTTAGTCATTCGAGGATGCGTGTGTGTGGCTGCAAGTTCAGTTTGTTCTTCTGAAGCAAATTCTGAAGCAAAACGATGAGGTGCATTCACATAGTTTAAAGAAAATACAAATGTGTTTGTGTGTCGGTGTGCTTACAAGAAGGTGTGTGTGTGTGTGAGACTATGACAGGCTGCAGGGAAGTGGCCTTCTTCTGCTCTGCACCTCATCTATCCAACCCCCCCGCCATCGGAAGAAGCTAGTCTCTGTTGTTCCTCCTATGCTATCCTTCTAGTCCCTGAACGCAGATCAGCATATAGGAGTAAATTTTTCCTTCTCATTCTTTGTAAAAGGCGCTGTTTATACTGTTCTGTACCTTGTTCTTTTTCATAGAAGCAAACTTCCCTCTTCTTTTTCACAACTCTTTAATATTCTGCTGGGATATGCCAGGTGGTTTCCAATTGTATAAATACTCTTGCGATGAATAATGTATTAATTATGCCATGGTATCTGTAGGATAAATCCCCGGAAATGGCATGACTGGGTTGGTTTTGGTGGAAATTGCCAGAGGTCGTGTTTCTTTTCTTTCAGCACGTTGCATGTTTAAGAGCCTTTTTGCTCTTCTGTTTCTGTGTGAACATCTTTGCCAGTTTTATTCTGGGCTGTTGGTCTTACTTTAGCTAATTAATATTGGTACGTTTTCTGTGGCATAAAAATATTTCTCCAGTTGTTTTTTTTTGTGTGTGTGTGTGTGTCTTTTGAATATTATTCATGGTACTTTTGTTAGTTTGTTCTGTATTCTTTTGTTATGTGCACTTGAATTGATCCATCTTCCCTGTTGTATCTCTGCACTTTCAGTCTTTGGCTTTTCTCAAACCAGAGTTACAAAATAATCGTTCCATGTTCTTCCCACCAGGTGCTTTCTTCTTCAAAAATTGATTCTCGACCTTGAAAATGATGGTATAAATATTTCACCTAGAAATACCTTGAAAACAAATGTTCAGACATGTTTTCATGTTAATCACCTTTTGTATTTTACATCTGTGGACGCCAGTGTAAAGTGCTTGATAATGAGAAAGAAGATAATGTATCATTTGTTGTTGTTTAGTGCAGTGAGTCCGACTCATAGTGACCCTACCCTAACGGGTAGAGGGTTTTCGAAGCTGTAAACTTGGCAGGAGCAGAAAGCCTCGTCTTTCTCCCATAACTCATCAATAGAATCAGTTACTGTGGAGCATGAAACATCTGTTTTAAGGGCAAATATAGATGAGTTTTTTTGAGGTGACACCAGTTTTTGAGGGATGTGACTAATATTCCTGGTATGTGTGTTGCTTGTATGTGTTTTGTTTTTAAACTGGTAAAGTCCTCAGATTTAGTTCTGTTTGGAGAACGGGCTGCTATCTATGGCAGCTCTTGCACGTACACTCCTAGTGTCTTTTGAGACCTGCTTGTTCAGGTACCATTGGCCATTTGCATTTGTCCTCATGTTGTGATTAAGTGCTGTCAACTTAGTTCCAACTCCTAGCGACAACCTTTATAGGGTTTCCGATTGGGTTTGAACTGCCAATCTTGTGGTTATCAGTTCAGTGCTTATCCTATAGCACCACACCAGGCGTGCGCTTGTCCTCACAGTGCACAGCTACTCTCTGCTCCATCTCTAGGTTTCTGGCTCCCTGGCTTTGCCGTCAATGTCACGGAGCGCTCTGTTGCTCCTTTGATGGTGTCCTTGTGCCCACATCCGCTCCCTCTCTCCTTTCTTTTCTCTTCTGTTGCTTTTCCTTTCTCCTTGGAACTGTGGTTTTCTTGAAGAAGGGCTGATTTTGATAGACATTATCAGACAGTTTGAGCGTTTTCTAGTGTTGATGAAAACCAGCTAATCACTGTTTGTCAAGGTATGTTGAGTCTTTGCTCGTCACAGTTGCCTTGGTGAGTTGGCTGAAGTCCAGAGGTCTGTCTGTCTGTCTGTCTGCCGGAGGCTTTGATCCTGGTACACAGTAGACACACAGCAGGAGGCCTCTGGCTTAAAGTGGGAAACTGCTTAGCTTCTAGCCTGTACCCCACTCAGGGGTCCTTACCTTGATGTCTCTCTAGTCCTTTGGATGTCTGAAGCTGGTCCTCTAGAAGATTCCTTGGGGAGGAGGGATTCCTGGAAGTCTTGAGTGTTGATAGCAGTGTCTGTCTGCTGCCTTTACAATTAGAAGTTACTTATCTTAGAAAGAAATCTCTGACTCTTTTTTTTCCCCTTGATTGAGTAGCTTAAACATACACTGTTTTCTTTTGGCATAACATGGTGCTGACAAAAAGCTTGATGGTAATAAAATTTTCTTTTCTTTGTATGTCTTGTGCTTTTTTGGCTTAGATGGTCAGAGAAGGTTTTCTTTCTCTTTAATGTCTAGTGATGTCACTGTATTATGCATCATTGGGGTCATTTCAGCTAGGCCTTTTCAAATATATATATTTTGTATTTTTTTTCTCTAGGAAATGTGTTCCCAGGTTGTAGACTTTAGTATTTATTCTGTTTTCTGCGTTGATTCTCTTCTTTAGGGCGTCCTATGATCCTAACTTAGACCGTCTTTGCTTTTCTTCAATATTTGTCCCTTTTAAGAAAAAAATGTTTTGTTTTTTCTTCACATCTTTTTGACTTGAATAAATTTACTCTCTTTTCATTTCTGTTTCTCATAAGGTATTATTGGAAAGAGTCCTTCTGGTTTAGTCTTCACTTCTGAAATAATGTTTTTGTTTTGTTTCTAATTCCTTCTTAAGTACTGTGGCCTCATTTTTAAGTTTTTCTCATTCTCATTCTTACTGCACCCCCTTTAAAAAAATTATTGTGGTTTGTGTGAAAGTTTATAGAGCATGTTTTCCATCCAGCAATTTATACACATTTTGTGACGTTAGTTGAAATCCCCTCAATGTAATAGCAGGAGTTTTGGTGTGGCACTGTGGGTTTAGGTGCTGAACTACAAAGTTGGTTTTGATCTGCAAGGTTGGCTGTTCAAGCTCACTAGCCACTCCTCGGAAACCCTATATAGGGTTACTATAGGTCAAAACCAACTCGATGGCACAATGTAATAGCAATGCTTCGACTTCCTCCCTGGGTTCTTGGTTTCCATTCTCTCTTCTTTCCAGCCCCTCCTGCCTTCATTGTTTGTGGTAAACATTGTTTTGTGGTAAATTCTGCCCGTTTCGTCTGGTACGGTTGGTGGTTCTGAGGAGCATGTCCCTCACGGGTGTTTCTGTTCACTCTATGAGCCTCTGTGCGGTGTGACGAAAACATGATCCTTGGGGGTGGGTTCAATTGCAGGTTTAAAGGCTGTCTAAGGTCCTGGGGAAGGAGCTCTGGTAGTGTAGTGGTTACGAGTTGGGCTGCGAGCCTTTAGGTCAGCAGTTCGAAACTACTAGCTGTGCCGCGGGAGAAAGATGAGGCTTTCTGCTCCAGTAAAGATTTACAGCCTCGGAAACCCTGTGCAGGGTCGCTATGGGTCAGAATTGACTTGACAGCACTTACCAACCACAACAATCACAAGGTCCTGGGGTGGTGCTGTAGGATAAGCACTGGACTGCTAACCACAAGGTCAGTGGTTCAAATCCACCAGCTGCTCCTTGGAAACCCATTACAGTGTTGCTATAAATCAGAACTCACTCCATGGCAACAAGAAGAAGGACCATAGTTTCTGGGGTTCCTGCTGCGTTTTGATATTTTGTATCATTTTCAGAATTCTGTAAACTTCCTTAGAAGCGGACGAATACGGTTTTGCTGTGATTTGTAGACATGTCTTTGTGGTGTGCTCTGTCTCATAGTTTATTATAGGGATGCTAGTCTGCTTCTGAGTTTCTTTTTCCTCATTTTCACTTTGTGTAAGGTTTGACCTCTGTCCTTCTCTGTGGATTATTTGTACATGAAATTATTCTACAGTGTGTTTAGATACTCAACGAAATTCTATGTAACATAAATGCTAGTTTTACGAGGCGACTGTGCATTATGATATACTGTGTGATAAAATGTTAAGTTCCATATTGGGGACCACGGTGTCTTCCATATGCTAAGCACTGGACTGCGAACCACACGGTCAGGAGTTGAAGCTTACCAGCCGCTCCGCAAGAGGAAAATGAGGCTTTCCGCTCCTGTAACGATTCAGAGGCCTGGTGTGGTCCTGTGGGTTAAAGCACTGGATTGCAAGGTCGCTTTGAACAACAAAGTCGGTGGTTCAAGCTCACCAGCTGCTCCTCGGGAACTCTATATAGGGTCGCTATGGGTTGGAATTAAATTGATGGCACACAACAACAAAAGCTTTAAAGTTTCAGAAACCCTGTACAGTGCCAACTCGATGGCACTTAACAACAACAATATTCTCCACATTTTTATGCAATTTATTTTCTGGAGCAAGTTTATGATATCTTAAGAACTTTTAGAAGAAATTAAACAAAGGAGAGCTCGCATAATGTCCTTTTGTTTTTTGTGTTTTGATCAAATCTAGGTTGCCGTGGTCTCTGGGATGTCCTGGGTTGGGGTCCCCCCACCCCTTTTATCTGGATCTTCTCTTTCCTTTCTCTCTTGCTCCTTTCCCGCTAACTTCTCTCAGCGTAGACCCTTTGGGACTCACATACTCTTGAGTTGGACAAAACACCTTTGGTTCAGCAGCTGTTCTCAGGTTCGCTTCTCACGCTTTCCTGGGAAGATCTGTGGGCTTTTTTTGGAGTGTTCTCAGCCTGTCAGCTGTCACCTTGCTTCTCTTGCTTCCTCCAGGCCAGAACCGGGTGTCACACAGGTCTTGTACCTATCAGCAATGTGTCCCTCACCCATTTGTATTTTGGGGTTTATGGGAACGTGATTTTTTGTAAATTTTCTCTGTGGGTTTTAGATTTTGCTATATGGCTGCGCTGTCTGCTCTTATAGGCATCCTAAGATGTGTGTGGAGTCAATTCTGACTCCTAGTGAGCCTCTGCGACAGAGAACAACTGCCCTGTGGGGTTTCCCAGCTTAATCATTGTAGAAGCAGACTGTGACAGCTTTCTCCTGCACAGTGGCTGATGGGTTCAAACTGCTGACCTTCCGGTTACCAGCTAAGTGCTTTAACCACTTCACCACCAAGTATCCATGAAGGAATTGAAGGAGATTCAGAACTATACTATTGCTGGAATGTCCTAGAATCTCTTCACGTGTGGGTGTTTTAAGACGTAATATTGATGGACTAGGAGTTGCAAATAGTTCTTACTAATATCTAAGTACTGTCTTTCTATAAAGAATGTGGTTACTTTTAGGTTCAAATGTAAACTTTTCTATCTCTAGTTTATTTAGTTTCTGTATGTTGGATTTAATAAAAATGCATTTATCTTAACAAAAAAGAAGTAATATTGACTGGAAAAGTTTGGCTTACTTTACTACTTGAAAAGTTGTCATTTTCATCATACCTTAGTCCTTAGAGGAATTGGAAACACTGAAGGGAGAAGTTACCCACACAGTTTTGTTGCATGAATAAAGGGTGACACATAGCAGGTGACTGATAGTTGTTTAAAGAATCTTTGGGCGGTAATTTTTTTCCTGTGGTTTTTTGTCTGTTTGTTCGTTTGTTTTTAACGTGAAAGAGGGAGAGCGGTGCTACAATCCCCTCGTTCATGAACACGATCCCAACCAAAGAAACACCCCCAACTCTGATCCGCACCAACAAATTCACCGAGGGCTTTCAGAACATCGTGGATGCCTATGGAGTTGGCAGCTACAGAGAAGTGAATCCAGGTGGGGACAGTGAATTTCCTGATCTTTCTGTTTTCTCTGTTGATAAGAGGATGTGGTCGGTGTTAGGGGAAGTAGGCTCAGTCTTGCTGTTTTATTATCTTATTTTATGTTCTTAATCTAACTAACCACTTACTTTGATCTCAGGGTCGCTAAGACAGCCATGGTCAGTTTGCACAGCTGTTTGGAGTAGCTAGGATTCTCTGCTTTTACTGAGAATTAGAATCCTCTGACCCGCTCTTCCTCTCGGCAGCTCTCTTCACTATCATCACTTTCCCCTTTTTATTTGCCGTGATGTTTGGAGATTTTGGACATGGCTTTGTGATGTTCTTATTTGCCCTCTTGTTGGTGTTAAATGAAAATCATCCTCGACTGAGTCAATCTCAAGAGGTAAAAATAACAATAGTCTACATCTTTCTGTTGGGTTGGGTGGCAGGAATGGTGGCTGTATCCAGGTTCCTTCAGTGTTAAGTGTGGTGACTATCATCACTGACCTGCCTGAGATGCAGGAGACGCACAGTTTGGCATCTCAATATAACAGAGACTTCTCCTAGGACCTACCAGGGAATTCCTGAGTGCGTGGTTAAGAGCATGCAGAATCCTGATCAGAAGGGGAGAAAATGTAGAACAGAATTTAAAATGCTCAGAATCCAGAATTTCTGAATCCATTGAGGCTGGAAATGATTGCCCGTAGATTATCTTTAAATTGTAAACCTGTTTAAAATTGTGTTCAAACTAGACTGTAGTGTGCTCTTCTAAAGAATTTTCTATGGGGGATCTAGTTGACAACAGCAACTTGAAAAATTAGATTGGAAGCTTAGGGAGCAGGGAGTTTAGGATACTAGGAGAAGAACAACTCAGAAAAGGAAGGTTGAGGTTGGTTTTACAAGTTAAAGAATATAGTCAGTGTCACTGAACTATAATGGAGATCTTGTTGAATTGGTGTATGTGTTCTGTATATAGTCTCAACAACCTCCGAACATGTCAAAGTGAATTCCTACCACCTGAATCCATTTGTCCTGTCCCTTTATCCCCTTTTCACAGATCATGAGAATGTTCTTTGACGGCCGGTACATCCTTTTGCTGATGGGCTTGTTCTCAGTGTACACAGGCCTCATCTACAACGACTGCTTTTCCAAGTCGGTAAACATTTTTGGCTCCGGGTGGAATGTGTCCGCCATGTACAGCTCGAGCCACCCCCTGACTGAGCATAAGACCATGGTTCTTTGGAAGTAAGTCTGCATGCCGCCTGTCGTGGGGAAAGATGTCTGCGAGGCTTTTCCTGCAGCTTGCAGCAAGTCTGCTCACTCTGTGTTCCCTTCACAGCGACAGTGTGGTCCGACACAGCAAGATCCTGCAGCTGGACCCCAATGTGCCCGGAGTGTTCCAAGGCCCTTACCCTTTCGGTATTGACCCGGTCAGTATGCTTCCTTCTCACCGTTACTTTCAGTTTCTCTTCAGCTGCCGCCTGGTTTTCACTGCCACTGTGGTTCTCATTTGAGAAGAGCGGTTCACATTTTTGTGCTCAAAGGGTCAGAAGCTGGGGTGATTACTTTGTGGACATCCCGAACTGAGCAGGATTCTAGCTGAGGCTGATCCAGTGGCTTCAGCACTCTGGAAACTGAGGCCAGTGACTGAACACAAGAATCCCGAGTGTTGCTCTACACAAGATGCAGCGATATTGTCTGCCCCCTCCTCTGGCCTGTTTCATTCTTGTGACAGTGCCACCTGAGGAGTCATTCAATGTGTGCTGCTTCTTATAGTTTGGCTCTTTGTGCATGAATTACTGTTAACCCTTTAGAAAATCAGGTGGAATTTTAGAGCCAAAAGGGAGCTTAAAATCCAACAACCCAGCTGCTTACCGAGGTAGTTCTGTGAAGGAGAATAAAGGAGCTTCAGGTACTGGGACCCCTTGCCCCTCACTCAGCACAGGCCTAGTGGCTGGACTGCCACCATGGCGTTAGATTGCAGGGGGCTGGGGCAGCGTCTACAAGGACCATCGGGGGCCCCCTGAGCGATGTGCTCTCCAAAATTGGTTTGGAAGAATGTGAATGCCTTGGGCAGTGAGAATGAAAAATCAGAAAGCTGAGCAAAACATTTGAGGGGGCTTCAAAAGGTTCATGGAGGAGAGGACTTCTGGCACTTCCCTGACTAGGCAGCTCAGGTAGGGCAGTCTCAGGGAAAAGGGGCAGAATTGCACATAAGAAACCTCTGTCTAGCAGACAGACAGCCTTTGAACAAACATAAGATCTTATATTTCAACATTCTGAACTCGTTTTTTTAAAAGATCAAATTGCTGAGGAATTACAGGCATTTTGAGCTTTTGCCTGCCTGCACGCAGCTCCCACTTCTGCGCCCGCGCCGGCGAGTGCCTCTGCCCCCTGCAGACCTTGGAATGCTGCATTTAGAAGGCTGCATTTCCAGAGAAAAGAAAGCATAAACTTAACGAACAAAGCCGAACAAATAGAGAGGGATATTGGCGCGGATATCAGGAAATTAGGGGTACCCACGGTACAGAGAGACTGAGAGAGGCATTTTTTACGTCATCAAATACGGACACTACCTCCCTGCAGCCACTGCCCCCAGCCCTCTACTGCCCTGGCCTAGACCAGTCCTCTGCCAAACCTCCGAGGCTCAGGAAAGCCCAAGGCACAGGCCCGCCCACTGAGGCCAAGGCCCTCCCAAGGCCCAGACACTCCCACTGAGGCCAAGGCCTGCCCTGAGGCCCAACCCGCCCACAGACTGGTCACAAAGGCCCAGGCCCAATCAAGGCCCAAATCGCCTACGCGCCTCGTGGCCCAGGTGGTCCACAGCCCGGTCACTGCAGAGGTCCAAGGCCCCCAAGGTCCAACCCGCTGTGTAGCCAGGTCACTGAGGCCCAGGGCCCCGGAGGCCCAACCTGCCGTTTAGCCCGGTCGCCAAGGCCTAGTGCCCCTGAGACCCAACCTGCCCTCAGCCCAGTCCCCGAGGCACAGGCCCCCCGAGGCCCAATCTGCCCAACCCGCCCGCTAAGACCCAAGCCGCCCCATGTCCAGCTGCTGATACCCAGGCCCACTGAGGCCCAAACCGCCTGCCTGAGGCCCACACCACCCTCCCGATGCCCAACCCTCCTGCAGCCCAGTCACTGATGCCCAGGCCCCAAGAGGCCCAAACCGCCCACCCTAGGCTCAACCCACCCACCCGAGGCCCAAACAGCCCGCCGCCGAGGCCCAGGCCCAACTGAGGCCC